TGTGCATTTGGAAAATACTTTACTTACTTAATAGTCTGTACTCTTTGGTAAAAAATCTAAAATTATCAAAAATTCGAAAAAATTCAAAAATCCGATTTTCTTAAAATTCAACATTTTTTCCTCTCTTTTATGGGATTTAGCTTTATTATTTTTGTGCTTTTGGAAAATACTTTACTTATTAAATTGTCTCGACTCTTTGGTAAAAAATCTAAAATTATCAAAAATTCGAAAAATTTCAAAAATCCGATTTTCTTAAAATTTAACATTTTTTCTTCTCTTTTATAGGATTTAGCTTCATTATTTTTGTGCTTTTGGAAAATACTTTACTTATTAAATTGTCTCGAATCTTTGGTAAAAAATCTAAAATTATCAAAAATTCGAAAAAATTCAAAAATCCGTTTTTCTTAAAATTCAACATTTTTTTTCTCTTTTATAGGATTTAGCTTCATTATTTTTGTGCTTTTCGAAAATATTTTACTTATTAAATTGTTTTGAATCTTTGGTAAAAAATCTAAAATTATCAAAAATTCAAAAATCCGATTTTCTTAAAATTCAACATTTTTTCCTCCCTTTTATGGGATTTAGCTTCATTATTTTTGTGCATTTGGAAAATACTTTACTTACTTAATAGTCTGTACTCTTTGGTAAAAAATCTAAAATTATCAAAAATTCGAAAAAATTCAAAAATCCGATTTTCTTAAAATTCAACATTTTTTCCTCTCTTTTATGGGATTTAGCTTTATTATTTTTGTGCTTTTGGAAAATACTTTACTTATTAAATTGTCTCGACTCTTTGGTAAAAAATCTAAAATTATCAAAAATTCGAAAAATTTCAAAAATCCGATTTTATTAAAATTTAACATTTTTTCTTCTCTTTTATAGGATTTAGCTTCATTATTTTTGTGCATTTGGAAAATACTTTACTTACTTAATAGTCTGTACTCTTTGGTAAAAAATCTAAAATTATCAAAAATTCGAAAAAATTCAAAAATCCGATTTTCTTAAAATTCAACATTTTTTCCTCCCTTTTATGGGATTTAGCTTCATTATTTTTGTGCATTTGGAAAATACTTTAATTACTTAATAGTCTGTACTCTTTGGTAAAAAATCTAAAATTATCAAAAATTCGAAAAAATTCAAAAATCCGATTTTCTTAAAATTCAACATTTTTTCCTCTCTTTTATGGGATTTAGCTTTATTATTTTTGTGCTTTTAGAAAATATTTTACTTATTTAATAGTCTCGACTCTTTGGTAAAAAATCTAAAATTATCAAAAATTCGAAAAATTTCAAAAATCCGATTTTCTTAAAATTCAACATTTTTTCCTCTCTTTTATGGGATTTAGCTTTATTATTTTTGTGCTTTTGGAAAATACTTTACTTATTAAATTGTCTCGACTCTTTGGTAAAAAATCTAAAATTATCAAAAATTCGAAAAATTTCAAAAATCCGATTTTCTTAAAATTTAACATTTTTTCTTCTCTTTTACAGGATTTAGCTTCATTATTTTTGTGCATTTGGAAAATACTTTACTTACTTAATAGTCTGTACTCTTTGGTAAAAAATCTAAAATTATCAAAAATTCGAAAAAATTCAAAAATCCGATTTTCTTAAAATTCAACATTTTTTCCTCCCTTTTATGGGATTTAGCTTCATTATTTTTGTGCATTTGGAAAATACTTTAATTACTTAATAGTCTGTACTCTTTGGTAAAAAATCTAAAATTATCAAAAATTCGAAAAAATTCAAAAATCCGATTTTCTTAAAATTCAACATTTTTTCCTCTCTTTTATGGGATTTAGCTTTATTATTTTTGTGCTTTTAGAAAATATTTTACTTATTTAATAGTCTCGACTCTTTGGTAAAAAATCTAAAATTATCAAAAATTCGAAAAATTTCAAAAATCCGATTTTCTTAAAATTCAACATTTTTTCCTCTCTTTTATGGGATTTAGCTTTATTATTTTTGTGCTTTTGGAAAATACTTTACTTATTAAATTGTCTCGACTCTTTGGTAAAAAATCTAAAATTATCAAAAATTCGAAAAATTTCAAAAATCCGATTTTCTTAAAATTTAACATTTTTTCTTCTCTTTTACAGGATTTAGCTTCATTATTTTTGTGCATTTGGAAAATACTTTACTTACTTAATAGTCTGTACTCTTTGGTAAAAAATCTAAAATTATCAAAAATTCGAAAAAATTCAAAAATCCGATTTTCTTAAAATTCAACATTTTTTCCTCCCTTTTATGGGATTTAGCTTCATTATTTTTGTGCATTTGGAAAATACTTTAATTACTTAATAGTCTGTACTCTTTGGTAAAAAATCTAAAATTATCAAAAATTCGAAAAAATTCAAAAATCCGATTTTCTTAAAATTCAACATTTTTTCCTCTCTTTTATGGGATTTAGCTTTATTATTTTTGTGCTTTTAGAAAATATTTTACTTATTTAATAGTCTCGACTCTTTGGTAAAAAATCTAAAATTATCAAAAATTCGAAAAATTTCAAAAATCCGACTTTCTTAAAATTAAATATTTTTTCCTCTCTTTTATGGAATTTAGCTTCATTATTTTTGTGCTTTTGGAAAATACTTTACTTATTAAATTGTCTCGATTCTTTGGTAAAAAATCTAAAATTATCAAAAATTCGAAAAAATTCAAAAATCCGATTTTCTTAAAATTCAACATTTTTTCTTCTCTTTTATGGGGTTTAGCTTTATTATTTTTGTGCTTTTGGAAAATATTTTACTTATTAAATTGTCTCGACTCATTGGTAAAAAATCTAAAATTATCAAAAATTCAAAAATCCGATTTTCTTAAAATTCAACATTTTTCCTCTCTTTTATAGGATTTAGCTTCATTATTTTTGTGCTTTTGGAAAATACTTTACTTATTATTTTTCATGAAAAATCAATTTAAAAAAAAAGTTTTGATTAAATTCTATTTCATAAATAATAAAACTCATCGAAGAATTTCAATTATTTTCATTACTATTTTAAATTAATAATCGAAAAATTCAGTTATTTTCACAAATAAAGTTTTCACACAAGAATTCAATTATTTTAAATAATAAAATTTTCATAATATTTATTATATTTCGAAAAAAAACAATTATTTAAAACATTGTTTATAAAATTCTAATGAAGAATTCACTTACTTTCAAAAATAATAAAATTTTTTCAGAAATTCAATACTTTTTAAATATTTTTATAAGCTTTTCCGCAATAATTCAATTATTTTCAAAAATAATAAAATTCTTCTCTGTAATTCAATTATTTTTGAGAATTATAATAAAATTCTATTTAAATTAAAAACTATTCAATTATTTTCATAAATAATAAAATTTATAGCAGGATTTCAATTATTTTTAATACAATTAAATTGCTCAAAAATTTAATTATTCTTAAAAACTTAATTTCAATTCCTCGACAAAAATAAATTATTTAAAAAAATGTTTTTTTTAAATTCTATGGAAGAATTGAATAATTATTTTCAAAAATTTAATAAAATTGTTCGAATGAAATTAATTTTTTTGAAATAATTCAATTTTTTAAAATTTTAATAACATTTTTTCTAAGAATTCAATTATTTACACAAATAATTTTTCGAAAGAATTCAATTATTAAAGATAAATAAAAAAATTACTCCTGAAAATTCAATTATTTTGAGGTATTTTAATAAAATTTTTTCAAAATTCAATTATTTTCATAAAGAACAATACTATTCATCACAATAATACAATTATTTTTAAAAATAATAAATTTCTTCTTGAAAATTCCATTATTTTAAAAAATTCTAGTAAATCGTTTGCAAGAATTCAATTATTTTCATAAATAATAAAATGTTTTTTACGAATTTAATTATTTTGAACAAAATTTAATCAAATAAATTTGTCCTGAAAACATTGAAAATTTTTAAGGTCCTGAAAACATTCTAAGTTAAAAAAAATTTAATAAAATTTCCCACAGACATTCAATTATTGACAAATTTTTTAATAGAATTCTTTGTAAAATTTAATTATCTTTAAACAATTTTCGCAATTCAATGATTTTCAATATCTACTATTTTCATAAAATTTCCAAATAGAATTCAATTATTTAAAAAATGGTTTGTAAAAATCCAATTCTTTTCATGAATAATAAAAATTTTCATCAATTCAATTATTTAAATTAGAATTTGCATAAAATTATTTGAAAGACATGACTTATTTAAAAATTTTTATAAAATTCTTCGCAAGAATTAAATTATTTTAAATTTCATGAATAATAAAATTCGTAGCAGAAATTCAATTTATAAGCAGGATAAGAAAAAAGTAAATATTTTTGATGAAAATTAGGAAAAAGTCAGGAAAATTAAAAATATGGAATGGAATTTTTGTCAATTTTGTGAAGTGAATAAAACGAGTTTTTTTTGTTTTTTTGAAATTAAAAAAAATAAAAATAACCCACAAAAATTAATATTCAAAACAAACAAATGAATGCAGATAATTTGCTAACGGAAAGGAAACTTACGATTATTATAATGTATATTTATTTATTATTATTTATTATTGATGAACTACTGTTTTCCTTTACACAGGTTAAGAAATATATACAATTGTGATTCTTGTGACCCGAAAGAATATTCACGTGAGTGATTCGAGAGATTATCAATGAGGAGGCGGAAACTATCATCATCACCATTATCCGAAAATTAAAAATTTGTTTATTGTTTGTTCTTCTGAAAGAAGATGAAAAATTTTTTTTTCTTTTTAAAGATAATAAACAAAATTAATTCTATTTTTCTAAAAGAAAATTTAAAAAAATGTTTTTTTATTTTTCTACAAGAATAAAACAAAATAAATAAAAATTATTTTTTTGAGTTTATTTTTATCTTTTTAAAGTATTCGTTTGTTTCTAATTTTTTCTTTTTAAATAATTTTTGAAATTTCGTTAAATTTTTTAAATGAAAAAAATTCAATTCTATTGTAATTTTTTCCTTTAATAAACTGAATTTTTTTAGAGTGCCAGTATCGCCAGTAAAGGAGTTTCGAAACCCCGTGAAGAGAGTGGCGAACGTGGAAGGTGGTTCAACACCTCCAGAAACAACTACACTCCACCTGATGGTAATTAACTTTCATAATTCTTGAAAATAAAGAACATAAAAAACAATATCGATACTTTGTGCTTTTTCAATTTTTTGTTTGCTTTTTGATGGACTATTATTAATTATCCAGAAAATGTTTCAATTGCGAAACGTGATATTTAATTTTTCATTATTATACATATCACGATTTTTTCCAATTTTCAATTTCTTAATTATTTCATAATCGAAATTTAAAAAATTTTCTTATTAAGTACATAATTAATTATTATTATTCTTTATATATTCAGAAATTTTAATATAATTTATTCTTCGTAAGAATCCAATTATTTTAATAAATATTAGCAATCATTTGAAAAAATTTAATTATTTTTATAAATTATACATAGTAAATTTTTTTTGCAAAAATTCAATTATTTTCAAGAAAATTTTAAAAATAACTTCTCTAAGGCCGACATATAGGCCTTAGAGGCCCTACTCCTTTTCAAAAAACTAAATATCACATAAACAATAATTTCTAAAAGTACACATTTTTTTAAAAGTTAATCCGTAACATAATGGTGGAATATTCCTATTGATATATTGAAATAATTTTCTGTATCTTAAAATTGAAAAATTTACATAATGGTGCACACAGGAAAAAAATTTTAAAATACAAAGGCATAGCGACTATCAGCAGAGAGATTCACGCGATAATTGTTCAAGACATCTGAAATAAAGTAACGGCCTTAACGTTATTACAACGATAATATGTCGGTACAAGAGAGAAGCGATGGTTACGCCATGGGCCCGGAGTAAGGAACAAGGAACACAGGTAAATTTCTTTTGTTTATTTATGAAAATAAAAAATGTCTATTTTTTGTAAAATAAAATAAAAATTTATTTTTTTTATTTCTATTATTTTAAAATAAAATTTAAAACCAAATTTTTTAATTGAAGTGCAATATTTTCTTTGTTGCACTCTTAACATTCTCATGAATTTAATATATACAAAAGTTTTCTCTCAATTTTTCATTTAAACTAGTTTTTTTCGAATTCTCTAAAAAATTGTGTAATCAAAAGTTTTTTTCAATGTTTGTAATATTTATTATTATGTATTTTTGATTTACTAATCTGTTTTTCTTTTTTTAGGTCACGAAATACCTACAATTGTGATTCTTGTGAACCGAATATATACAAATGTATTCTCTCAATTTATCATTTTAACTAGTGTTTTTTTTCTTCGAAGTCTCTAAAAAATTGTGAAATCAGTTTTTTTTACAAATTTTGTAATATTTATTATTATGTGTTTTTGATTTACTAATCTGTTTTCCTTTATTTAGGTCACGAAATACCTACAATTGTGATTCTTGTTAGCCGACAGTATATTGAAGTGACTCGAGAAACTATCAAAGAGAAGTTGAAGACTATCAACAACATCATCAGTGGCAAGGCGACTATTAGCACAGAGATTATTATCGTGATTCACGCGATGATATTTTCAAAGATATTTTTGGAATAAAGTAACGGCATTAAGGTTATTTGGACGAGGATATGTCGAACCAATAGAGAAGCGATGGTTGCGCAATGGGCATCATTCCGGAACAAGGAACAAAATTTTTTTTTCTATCCGAAAATTAAAAATGTTTTTGTTTGCTTTTTGATAGACTATTATTAATTAACCAGAAAATGTTACAAGCGCGAAACGTGATATTCAATTTTTTATTAATATACATATCACGAAATTTTTTTTTAATTTCAATTTCTCAATTATTTCATAATCGAAATTTAAAAAATTCTCTTATTAAGTACAAGTGACTCGAGAGATTTTCAAATTTTCTGAAATAATATTTAAATTTTTTTTTTAATTTTAACTATTTTTTCATTTTATGATTTTCTCTAATAGAATCGTGGAATGTGGATTTCAATCCACTGGCGCCATTTCCAGTGGAGAAAATAATTTCCATCGACTTGGACCGCAAGTTTCCTGTTACGGCTAACGTTTTGGACACTGCTAATAATAATTAAAAATTCATGACAACCTCAGAAGAATGCAACGATCTTAGCGGTTTCAAAAGAAGATTAAAATTGTCACATAAAATTTTAGACAAAGAAATTAAATGGAAGGAAAAATTACGCCAAAATTAAAAAATTTACATAATGATGCAGAAAAGGAAAAAATTTTTGAAATAAAAAGGCATGGCGACTTTCAGCAGAGAGATTCACGCGATAATTGTTCAAGACATTTGAAATAAAGTAACGGCATTAACGTTATTACAACGATAATATGTCGGTCCAAGAGAGAAGCGATGGTTACGCCATGGGCCCGGAGTAAGGAACAAGGAACACAGGTAAATTTCACTTTTTTTTCTATACGAAAATAAAAAATGTCTATTTTTTGTAAAATTAAACAAAAATTTATTTTTGTTTTTTTATTTGTATTATTTTAAAATAAAATTTAAAACCAAATTTTTTAAGTGAAGTGCAATATTTTCTTTGTTGCACGCTTCACATTCTTATGAATTTAATATATAGAAATGTTTTCTCTCGATTGTTCATTTAAATTAGTTTTTTTCAAATTCTCTAAAAAATTGTGAAATCGCAGTTTTTTTTACAAAGTTTGTAATATTTATTATGTATTTTTGATTTTCTAATCTGTTTTCCTTTTTTTTAGGTTACGAAATACCTAGAATTGTGATTCTTGTGACCCGAAAGAGTATTCAAGTTCTCTCAATTTTTCATTTAAACTAGTTTTTTTCCGAATTCCCAAAAAAATTGTGTAATCAAAGGTTTTTTTCAATGTTTGTAATATTTATTATTATGTATTTTTGATTTACTAATCTGTTTTTTTAGGTCACGAAATACCTACAATTGTGATTCTTGTGAACCGAATACATACGAATGTTTTCTCTCAATTTTTCATTTTAACTAGTGTTTTTTTTCTTCAAATTCTCTAAAAAATTGTGAAATCAAAGTTTTTTTTACAAAGTTTGTAATATTATTACAAATTAATTATTATTAATTATCAATTATTATGTATTTTTGATTTACTAATCGATTTTCCTTTTTTTTGGTCAAGAAATACATACAATTGTGATTCTTGTGACCCGAAAGAATATTAAAGTGACTCTGTAGATTGTCAGTGAAGAGGCGAAGACTATCATTTTTATCGTGATTCGCGCGATAATTGTCAAAGACATTTGGGATAACGTAACGGCAATAAGGTTATTTCAACAAGGATATGTTGAACCAATAAAGCAGCGATAGTTGCGATTTTCAATCTTGTATTTTGTCTATTTTTTTGTTTATCTTGGATATTAATTTATTAAACATTTTTTCTAAAAAAAATTTCAAGAAAAAATTTGTGAAGTGAAGTGTAATATTTTTTTGTTGCACGATCCGCGTTCTCATTAATTTAATCGATACGAAAATTTTTTCTATTTTTTATTTTAACTAGTCGTTTTTTTTCTTTGAATTCTCTAAAATTTGTGAAATGAAGAGTTTTTTTTAAAGTTTATAACATTTATTATTATGTATTTTTGATTTACTAATCTGTTTTTCTTTTTTTAGGTCACGAAATACCGACAATTGTGATTCTTGTGAACCGAATATATACGAATGCATTCTTTCAATGTTTCATTTTAACTAGTGTTTTTTTCTTTGAATTCTCTAAAAAATTGTGAAATCACAGGTTTTTTGTACAAAGTTTGTAATATTTATTGTTATGTGTTTTTGATTTGCTAATCTGTTTTTTCTTTTTTTAGGTCACGAAATACCTACAATTGTGATTCTTGTTAGCTGAGGGTATATTCAAGTAACTTGAGAAACTATCAAAGAGAAGTCGAAGACTATAAACAACATCATCAGTGGCAAGGCGACTATCAGCAGAGAAATTATTATCGTGATTCGCGCGATAATATTTTTAAAGACATTTTTGGAATGAAGTAAGGCCATTAGGGTTATTTCGACGAGGACATGTCGAACCAATAAAGCAGCGATGGTTGCGCGATGGGCATGATTCCGGAACAAGGAACAAAGGTTTATTTTTTTTTCTATCCGAAAATTAAAAATGTTTTTGTTTGCTTTTTGATAGACTATTATTAATTAACCAGAAAATGTTACAAACGTGAAACGTGATATTCAATTTTTTATTATTACACTGAGAGAAAAGAAGGTACACTGCTGTTCATTTGGAGTTTGTGTATTGCAATTCAAATTTGGATCAACTGCGCACTCTAAAAGGGCGTGTAACGCGCCTCTTTAGAGCGCGCTGCTGACGCTGGACATGGGACGCAGTGAGCTCGCATGGTCTCCATAACCTAGGTTATTTAACCATGCGGTCTCACTGCGTCCCACGAGTCAAGAGTCAGCAGCGCGCTTTAAAGGGGCGCGTTACACGCCCCTTTAGAGCGCGCAGTTGATCCAAATTTGAATTGCGATACACAACCTCCAAATGAACAGCAGTGTACCTTCGTTTCTCTCAGTGTATACATATCACGAATTTTTTTTCAAATTTCAATTTCTCAATTATTTCAGAATCGAAATTTAAAAAATTCTCTTATTAGGTACAAGTGACTCGAGAGATTTTCAAATTTTCTGAAATAATATTTAAATTTTTTTTTTAATTTTAACTATTTTTTCATTTTATGATTTTCTCTAATAGAATCGTGGAATGTGGATTTCAATCCACTGGCGCCATTTTTAGTGGAGAAAATAATTTCCATCGACTTGGGCCGCAAGTATCCTGTTACAGCTAACGTTTTGGACACTGCTGATAATTTTGAAAAATTCGTTGATCGAAAATTCAAAAGCTGTTCTCTTCATTTTAGGAAAATATATTCCTCATTTAAGAAGTTGATACAGAAAATCCAATTTAATAATGTTGAATCACATTTTAAACAACAAGTCAAAGGAATTAAAATCAAACATCAGGGTTCAGACGGTTGACAAATATAACACCACTCGTTTTTGTAGCGAATGTGGAGGGAAAAATTACAAACTTACTGCATCGTTATTATATTTGTCTAACGTGCGGACACCAATGTGACAGGGACAAAAATGCCTGCATTAATATTCGGCAAATTGGTCTTGTTAATGCAGGATATCTTAAAAAAGAAGAAATTAAGAAAAATTAATTTTTTTTGTTTTGACAAACAAAAATTACGAAAGAAACCAGGACAGCGACCAATATCTTTAAAATCAAATAAAAATGATGAGTCAATTTGCAAGGACTGCAAGGAATCTGGCCATAACACAAAAAAAGTGCAAGGTGCTCAATGCACAAGAAAACTGGTAGAGTAATTCTCGTAGAATCGCGTAACAATTATAATTTAACAAAACAAATCATCACGAGAAATTTAAAATTCGATGAATGTTTAAAGGATCCAGATATTCGTAAAGGAATTAAAAATGACCAAGATTGTATTGTTCAATTTGGAAATGCTTATTTCAATTTTATGCAAATTGTATTTAATAAGAAGGAAATTGTCAAGTACATAAGTGGAAAAGACAAGGCAGTAAATTTAAAATCTTTTTCCCTTGACTTTTACCGAGGACGTGGACGTTTAAAAGACTTCCCGTGGGAAACTGTTAGAAAATTATTTACGGATTTTCAAGAAGTAACCGATTTTGAAGTCTTTGATACGACAAATAGAAGATCGATGTTGGGCGATAGAATGAGGCAACTTGAAATAAGCTGGAAGAATTTAATTTCATTAAACTTACAAAAAAGAAGGAATAAATTTTTTAAGTGCCACATCCCAAATGATCCAAAAGATCCTACACGCAAATTGTACAGGGAATAATTAACTCAACAATTATTTCGAGAGAATGTCCATCCGACGAATCTAAAGTTTTTCAAGACTTTTAAAAGGAAGTCCGAAGAATTTAAATTTCACAAAAATTAATACAAATCACTGGAGATTTTCATTATTTTGAAAAAATTCGAAAATACTTGATTAAACACCAAAAACCGTCATTCGATTTATTTCCAAAATAGAAAATTACTGATACCTGCGTGTCGTACACAACTTGCAGTATTTCAGAATTTTTCCAGCGGCATAATCTTGTAAATAATGACGCGAACATTGCAGAAGATAATAATTTAAGCGAAGAAAAAAAAATTAAACAAAAATTCACTTCGAGGAAAAAAATTAGAATTGGTTCGCAGGAAGTCTAAATACAAATTGTTTTAAAGTTCATTTAAGAGTTCAAAAACAAAATTGGTAAATATTTTATATTATTTAAAGTATTACTGTTCCAGTTAAAAAAGAATTAATTTTTTTAATTGAAATTTAAACAATTTAATTTGGAAAAATTAATTTTTTGCTATTTTTTGTTAACAGATTGACAAATGCTAAATCGGATTGCTGAATCGAATTTCTCGAGAGATTTTCTTCCATATTTAGGGTTTTGAGGCGAAGGGCCGAAACTCTTATAGCGAGACTATGGTGTCCGTTGGTAGTTTTCCCTAGCAACAATTGCCATGGCAACCGTTGCTATGGTGATGGTTACCATAACAACTGTTGCCAAGGAAACCGTTGCTATGGTAATGGTTGTCATAACTATCGTTGTCATGAAAACCGTTGCTATGTTAATTGTTGCCATGGTAATGGTTGTCATAGCAACGCTTGTTATTAAAATCATGTGGAGTTTATGATTGATTTAATTATTTTTTCTTTTTTATTTCAGGCCACGAATCCCTAAGATGTAGGCGCTTTGCGCCTGCTTCTCTCACTGATTTTTATATTACAATTTAAAAAAAGTTGCGTTTTTGCCTAAGTAGTTAAAAATTTATTCATCGTTACTTACTTTTCTGCTTCAATGTTTAGATTAAATTTTGAATTTATTTTCTGACAAATTGCTGATTGCGACTTTTTTTAATGCGAAACAAAAACTCGAGATTACAAATGATATTCGACGACAATTGTGTAAATACTGCGAACTTGAAGAAAAGAAAATTATTTTCTCGAAATGTTTCTTCCATTTTTATATTAAACTTAAAAAAATGTTATTCGTTATTCGTATGATGCGCATTTAATACGAAATCATCGCCGTCTTATATTTTTGTCGCATGTTTCGAAGAATCGAGCATTCTCAATACCGACGTATTAAATCCGCGGAAATTTGTACTGAACTGTAAAAGTTTTGCAATTTATCGAAAATGTCGATATCGATAAACAAAGTAGGAGTAGTACGCTGTGAAAATTGTCAGCCTTCAAATCTATTCGGAAAAGGAACACAACGTAACTTTTTTCCAACGTAGTCTCCTATCAGCATCAACAACTTTTAAGAGACTCGACAATTAAATTCGACTGGGATAATCTCGATAATTTCTATGTTGCCAGTGAGTATTCTTTATAAAATATATATTTGTTATAATATTTCCAAAGAAATCCGTAATAAAAATTTTATAATTATATTTTAAAGATTTTTAATTTAGAGAGTTTAAAATAATTAATATTTAATGATAATGTTATTGATGAAATTTTTTTTCTATTCTTAAAAAAATTATATTTTCAATTGTTTTAAATCTTAATTAATTTTCAGCTAAAGAAAAGTGATAAAAAGTCTCCTCACAACGGAAGCGAGCTCGCAGGCCAAAATTTCATTTTTAAGATTTCATGGAATATTAAAGTTGAATCGAAAAATTTAGAGATTTTTCCGTTTGCCCAATGTCGACATCGCTCTACGCCAGCTGTTGAAAATAACACAAATGCTGAATCTCCAGCTCCTTGTCTGCAGCACAACGCTACTGTTTTTTCCAACGTAGTGTCCTATCAACAGCAACAACATTCAAAAGACTCGACAATTAAATTCGACTGGGATAATCTCGACAGTTTCTATGTTGCCAGTAAGTATTCTTTATAAAATATATATTTTTTATAATTTCCAAAGAAATTCGTAATAAAAATTTTATAATTTAATATTTTAAAGATTTTTAATTTAGAGAGTTTAAAATAATTGATATTTGATGAATTTTTTTTTATATTCTTAAAAAAATTATATTTTCTATTGTTTTAAATCTAAATTAATTTTCAGCTAAAGAAAAGTGATAAAAAGTCTCCTTACAACGGAAGCGACCTCGCAGGATCAAATTCCATTTTTAAGACCTTGTGGAATATTAGAGTTGAATCGAAAAATTTAGAGATTTTTCCCTTTGACGAATGTGGACATCACTCTACGCCAGCTGTTGAAAATTACACAAATGCTGAACCTCCAGCTCCTTGCCTACAGCATAACTGTTTTTCAACGTTGTCTCTTATCAGCATCAACAAATTTCAAGAGACTCGACAATTCAATTCAACTGGGATAATCTCGAAAATTTGTATGATGCCGGTTAGTATTCTTTATAAAATATATATTTTTTATAATTTCCAAAGAAATTTGTAATAAAAATTTTATAATTTAATTTTTTAAAGATTTTCAATTTAGAATGTTTAAAATAATTGATATTTGATGATGTTTTTGATGAATTTTTTTATATTCTTAAAAAAATTATATTTTCTATTGTTTTAAATCTAAATTAATTTTAAATTGATTTTCAGCTAAAGAAAAGTGATAAAAAGTCTCCTCACAACGGAAGCGACCGCACAGGACCAAATTCCATTTTTAAGACCTCGTGGAATATTATAGTTGAATCCAAAAAGTTAAAGATTTTTCCCTTTGCCCAATGTCGACATCGCTCTACGCCAGCTGTTGAAAATTACACAAATGCTGAACCTCCAGCTCCTTGTCTGCAGCATAACTGTTTTTCAACGTTGTGTCTTATCAGCATCAACAAATTTCAATTCGACTGGGATAATCTCGATAATTTGTATGATGCCGGTTAGTATTCTTTATAAAATATATTTTTTTTGTATAATTTCTAAGAAATACTTAATTGAAATTTACTTATTGCGATTCAAAACTCATTTAATTTGCTACACTTTTTAAATGCGAAACAAAAACTCGCGAGAACAGATGATAATTGGCCACAATTGTTTATATACTACGAACTTGAAAAAAAGAAAATTTTCTTTTCGATTATTTCTTCCATTCTTATAAATCCATTAAAAAAAGATTTTCATTACCTAAATATGTAGTTAAAAATTTATTTATCGTTAGTTACTTTTTAGCTTCAATGTTTAGATTAAATTCTGAATTTATTTTTTGACAAGTTGCTGATTGCGATTTAATACTCATGTAATTTGATATACTTTTTTAATGCAATAAAAAAACTCGAAAGAACTTGAGATTCGGCGGCAATTGTATAAATACTGCGATCTTGAAAAGAAATGAAATTACTTTCTCGAGAGATTTCTTTAATTTTCTTTTACGATTAAAATAGAAGGTTGCGTTTACCTAACTCGTTAAAATTTAATTATCGTGAATGACTTTTCTGCTTCAATGTTTAGATTAAATTTTAAATTTATTTTCTGACAAGTTGCTGATTGCGATTCTATATTCAGGTAATTAGATATATTTTTTTAATGCGATAAAAAAACTCGAAAGAACATGAGATTCGGCGGCAATTGTATAAATACTGTGATCTTGAAAAGAATAGAAAATTACTTTCTCGAGAGATGTCTTTAAGTTTCATAGTACGATTAAAATAAAAGGTTGCGTTTACCTAATTAGTTAAAAAAAATTATTTATCGTGAGTTACTTTTTTTAACGACGACAATTGTGTAAATACTGCGAACTTAAAAAAAAGAAAATTACTTTCTCGAGAGATTTCTTTAATTTTCATATTACGATTAAAATAAAAGGTTGCGTTTAACTAATTAGTTAAAAAATTATTCATCGTGAGTTACTTTTTTTAACGACGACAATTGTGTAAATACTGCGAACTTGAAAAAAAGAAAATTACTTTCTCGAAATATTTCTTTAATTTTCATATTACGATTAAAAAAAGATTGCGATAATTCTAAATAGTTAAAAATTTATTTATCGTTAATTACTTTTCTGCTTCAATGTTTAGATTAAATTTTGAATTTATTTTCTGATAAGTTGCATCTTGCGATTCTATACTGAGGTAATTTGATATACTTTTTTTAATGCGATAAAAAAACTCGAAAGAACATGAGATTCGGCGGCAATTGTATAAATACTGCGATCTTGAAAAGAAAAGAAAATTACTTTCTCGAGAGATGTCTTTAAGTTTCATAGTACGATTAAAATAAAAGGTTTCGTTTACCTAATTAGTTAAAAAAAAATTATTTATCGTGAGTTACTTTTTTTAACGACGACAATTGTGTAAATACTGCGAACTTAAAAAAAAGAAAATTACTTTCTCGAGAGATTTCTTTAATTTTCATATTACGATTAAAATAAAAGGTTGCGTTTAACTAATTAGTTAAAAAATTATTCATCGTGAGTTACTTTTTTTAACGACGACAATTGTGTAAATACTGCGAACTTGAAAAAAAGAAAATTACTTTCTCGAAAGATTTCTTTAATTTTCATATTACGATTAAAAAAAGATTGCGATAATTCTAAATAGTTAAAAATTTATTTATCGTTAATTACTTTTCTGCTTCAATGTTTAGATTAAATTTTGAATTTATTTTCTAATAAGTTGCATCTTGCGATTCTATACTGAGGTAATTTGATATACTTTTTTTAATGCGATAAAAAAACTCGAAAGAACATGAGATTCGGCGGCAATTGTATAAATACTGCGATCTTGAAAAGAAAAGAAAATTACTTTCTCGAGAGATGTCTTTAATTTTCTATGACGATTAAAATAAAAGGTTGCATTTACCTAATTAGTTAAAAAATTATTTATCGCGAGTTACTTTTTTAAATTACTTTCTCGAGAGATTTCTTTAATTTTCATATTACGATTAAAAAAAATGGTTGCGTTTACCTAACTCGTTAAAAATTTATGAATCGTGAGTTACTTTCCTGCTTCAATGTTCAGATTAAATTTTGAATTTGTTTTCTTACAAGTTGCTTCCTGCGATTCTAGATTTATGTAAGTTGATATACTTTTTTTAATACGATAAAAAAAACTCGAAAAACGGATGAGATTCGACGACAATAATTGTATATATACTGCGAACTTGAAAAAAATTACTTTCTCGAAAAGTTTCTTTAAATTTTCATATTACAATTTGTTTATTGCGATTATAAACTCATCTAACTTTCCTATACTTTTTTTACTTTTCTCTTTTAATTGTTTAATAAATTTTTTAATTCTTGGAAATATTGTGTAAAAATTATTTGTTTCCTTAACTTTATATTTATATTAGTATATAATACGCAAGTTATGCTTGTTTATATTTTTGACTTTTGATTAATTAATTTGATGATAACGTGTCAAATATTTTACAAACATTATTTTTTAAGCAATAAATTCGCCGGAAAAATGAAATGTATCGGCAGCCACAGTTGGTGACTAATTCGAATCACGAAAGTGCTTCCATAAATTTTTTCACGTCCCTTTGTTCTCCACTCAATCAATCTAGGTATCTATGGAAAAAAAGTTTATTATCAAAAAATTCTTTTTCGCTTCAAATTTTTATTTTTGATATCACGGGCAGCAGAACCTCCTTTTCACAATTTGTAAGATGATCGAAATATTTATTCCAACTACCTCACACTTGATTGTTACAACAGGTTTGCCACGCAACCTGGAAACCTGTAAATGTCAGGGAATTTTTATAAACCTTGAAGAAACCATGGAAAAGTCAGGGAATTTTGATTGGAATCCTGGAAAATTATTGTTTTCTAAAGTTATTGTACTTATTCTTGAAATGTAATAAAAAAACATGAATGTAAACTCATAGCAGAAACTCATAACAGAATTTCAATTATTTTTGATACAATTTTAATCGAATTCCTCGAAAAATGTAATATTTTTGTGTCACTATTGCTGCGTAATTTTTAATTAATTTACTTATTGAACAATTTTTTTCGTTGATCAACGTTGTGGACTTCAACTTGGTATGTTTTTTAGTTATGAAAAAAATCTAATTTATACTTTTAAGTAAAATATTCTCTTATATATTTTTGTCAGTAATTGGTCCGTAAATATTCATTCTTGGTCCGTAAAGTCCGTATTTTTAAATACTTTCACTGGTTCGAGCCCTGTATGTTTGCATAAAATTTGCTTTTTAATTAATTACTTTTTATATAAATCACACTTATAATGTGTATGGAAAAATATTGTTTAAACTGGAAAACCTGGAAAAGTCAGGGAATTTCATTACAGAAAAATTGTATTTTCGATGAAAATCGTTTGTTCATAATCAGGTATATATAATAATAATAATAATAATATTGTTATCAAATTATTTCAAATAAAAAAATTCGGAACTTTAGTTTCTTGTGTAATCACGCACGGTTTTCGTTGGCCCTTTGAATAGAGGAGACTCACGGTAGTTCAATTACATTTTAATTTAAACAAGTTTTCAATTTAAATTTAATAATATTTAAAAAAAAATGTTTAAATAAATAAAATGTTTTAGATTCGATGGATGGTCGGCGTACTTTTAGCCCTCGCCAGTTGACAAATTGTGGAAAAAGATGTAAAAGAAAATCTTCGAAAACTCTTCTTTTTATTTTAAAAATGAATCTGAAAAGTTTACTAAACAAAAAACGCATACAATCGAAATCGTATATAAAACTCTCATTTATTAGTGCCACAAAACCAGATTTTGAAATAGTGAAAATAATTTCCGATCTCTATTTAAGTTTATTAAGTGAGAAATTATTATTGAAATATTCAATAAAAAATATTCTCAGTATTGGCATGTTTGAAGATGTATTGGAATGTTTGAGAATTATCGATAATAATTGTCGTGGCAGTGATGAAAATATTTTAGTTCATATTGTAATACGAGAATTTCACGTTCACCCACAATTGTCATTTTTGACGATAATTTAAAATAAATTTGTTATTATTGTACTTTTTTTAAAAATTTATTAGTGAAAAAACATAACCTCAAAAAATCAATATTTAAATATTTCTTTGTATTTTTCTTTTCTGTTCTTTTATTTTTCTCACATTGAGATTAAGAATTAAGAAAATCGCTAAATATTCAATTGAATATTATTTCCATGGGAAAAAAACAAAAAATGCAATTGCACTGAACTTACTTAGGCACTGTCTAAAATAGAAAAAAATAATGTGTAATTTGTAGTGTAATGTGTATTATTTTTGTCATTGCCACTGTCAGGGTCAATTCAATTTTGGAGAAATTGCAAATAATTTTTTGCAGAAATTCAAAAATGACAATAAAATTCTTGTTCTAATTTCAATTATTTTCAATATCTACTATTTTAATAAAATTTTCCGATAAAAATTTAATTATTTTAAAAAAATTTAATAAAATCGTACACAAACATTTAATTATTATCAAAAATATTAAAAATTCCACAGGAATTCAATTATTTACGATTTTTTAAATTTTTAATTAGAAAATTGAAATAATGTAAATTATTTCCTTATGAAAATTGAAAATTTTCTACAAAAATAAACGGGAATATGTAATGTTTTTTCCTAAAATAAAAGAATGAGTTTGTGAACAATATTGTTATTGAAAAATAAAAATTATGCATAAAATGGGTATTTATTTACTATTTCTTAATCATAATGTTTTAACAAATTTTCAATTTTTTATAAATGAACAAGAGAAAAATTTGCATAATTTAAATCAGTCAAACGAAATATATTATTAAAAAAACATATAATAAACAAAATGGGTAAATTTTTCATTTGTTAATCATCATTTTTTTCTAATTCTTCTAATTTCTAATATTATTTTATTATGAATTATGAAAAAATACCTGCATATTTTTAATTTATCAAAACGAATTTAAAAAAAACAAAAGAGTACTTAAAAACTAATTTCAGGTGTAGACAGAATGAAAAATGAATAAGACGAATTATAGTTAATTTGTTATTATTGTATTTTTTTTTTAAATTTATTAGTGACAAAACATAACCTCAAAAAATTAATATTTAAATATTTCTTTGTATTTTTCTTTTCTGTTCTTTTATTTTTTTCACATTGAGATTGAGAATTAAGAAACTACTTTTAGGTTAGAAAAATTTTCGCAAAATATGCAATCAAATATTATTTCCATGGGATAGAAAATTAAAAATTTGTAAATTATTAATAAATTACGTATTTACCTACGATGTTTACAAAACAAAAAGTGCAATTGCACTGAACTTATTTCAAGCTTGAGATAAGTTTTTTATTTTCAATAATGTGTATAATTAAATTTTTTGTAAATTGGCGCGCAAAGAGTGCAATTTCCCACCACTCACCCCTTTTCTAATCTCCCGATCAATGGGAGAAGTATTCAAAAAATTCTAAGCCAATTGCTTTGCCCCATAAAATCGAGAAATTCACACGTTCAAATAGGCCAATCATAACATCCAATTCATGAAAATCACAAACATTACCAATGTTGCCAGATTCATCTTCTCCACTACATACTTTTAATCAGTGGAGAAGATGCGCGCATTCAGCATTTAGCAACAGTTAGCAGTTCGTGCATCATCTTCCAAAAATTAATCCTTCATCCAATGCTCTTTTTGATCGTTTATTTCGAAATAAATAAACGATTCAAAACAATAGAAGTAAGTGTTAAAACTATATTAATTAATTTTTTTATTTAACCTTTCTTTTTTCTAAAATAAAATTTCAAAAAAAAATTTATGAAGTGGTGTAATATTTTCTTTTTTGCACGCTTCACATTCTCATGAATTTAATCTATACGAAAGTTTTCTCTCAATTTTGTATATTAACAAGTGTTTTTTTTCTTTTTATTCTTTAAAATTGTGAAATTAATGGTGTTTTTTAGAAAGTGTGTGTAATTTGTAAGTGGAAAATTTTTGTCGGGATAATACTTAAAGTACGTTAGCTTTTTCAGCCATTTTATAGCACCCTCCCCCCAAGCGTACTTTTACATACATTAGCGCCATTTTGACGACGACTCGTTAAATCAGTGTTTTATCCAGTTTTATCTTTAATCTTTTTTTTTATAAATAAAAGAACGATTCAAAAAAAAAAAATTGGTAAGCAATTGCTGTAAAAGTAAATTTTTCAAAAAAAGAAATTCTCAATATTTATACAAAGAAAACAAATTTATTTGCAAAGAAAAAATTATTCCACATGTGTTAATCTTAATTTTCCTTGAATTAATTTTCAATCTTGTATTGACTGTTTTCAGACTATCTTGGTTATTAATTTATTAAACTTTTTTTTCTAAAATAAAATTTCAAAAAAAACAAATTTGTGAAGTGAAGTGTAATATTTTCTTTTTTGCACGCTTCACATTCTCATGAATTTAATCTATACGAAAGTTATCTCTAAATTTTTCATTTTAACTAGTGCGCTTTTTTTTCTTCGAATTCTCTAAAATTGTGAAATCAATGGTGTTTTTAACAAATTTAATTATAATATTTATTATTATGTATTTTTGAATTACTAATCGATTTTCCTTTTTTTAGGACGAGGAATACCTACAAATACCTACAATTGTGTTTCTTGTTACCCAAAAGAATATTCACGTGAGTGACTCGAGAAACTAACAAAGAGGAGACGAAGGACTATCATCAACATCATCAGTGGCGAGGATCAGTCGAAACAAAAGAGCAGCGATGGTTGCGCGATGGACATAAATCTGGAACAAGAAACAAAGGTTTATTTCTCTTTTTTTCCTATCCAAAAATAAGAAATATTTCTTTTTCTAAAAGAAAATTAAAAATTTCTTTATTTTTCTGAAAAATGACAAAATTTTTTTTTTTTATTCAAAGAGAAAATAAAAATTATTTCTATTTGTTCAGGGTTGCCACAGGTCGGAGAAAAGTGAGGGAATTTTATTAAAGTAACTAGAAAAAATTGAAATTTTGAAAGAGTTACAAATGATTGCAGAAATAAAATTATTTTCAAAAGTAATAAAATTCTTTGCAAACATTCAATTATGTTCAAAAATTTTTAAAAATTCTTGTCAAAATTCAATTATCTTAAAAAATAATAAAATTTTTCTCAAAATTTCATTATGCTTGAAAATTTTATTAAAATTTTTCGAAAAAATTCAAATTTGTTGATAAAATTTTTTATGAAAATTTAGTTTCGAGAAACATTAATTTATTCAATAAATTGTTTATTTTAGTATTTAAATAATTGAATGCTCGTAGAATTTTCAATTAAAAATTGATTTAAAAATGAATATTAGTTAAAATTTTAGATAATAATTGAATATTAAAAGCATTATAGCATGAATTTTAAAAAAAATACATAATTGATAATTTAATTCTTTCCAAGAATGTTAACAAAATTTTTGAAAATAATTACATTTTTTGAAGAATTTACTTAAAATTGTATTCAAATAATTGAAATCCTTCATGTTTTATAATATTATTCTTATAAGTTGTTAAGTTTAAAAATGTTTGAATTTGAATGTTGTGAAGAATTTTAATTCTTATGGAAAAGTAATTAAATACTCATTTAAAAATTTAGTTATTGATGTTTGCGAATAATTTTACAATTTAAGAAATTCGTAAGTAAATGTAATAGATTTTTTTTTGAGTATCTAATAATTTATATAGTAAATCAGAATATTCTTTAGGGTCAGGGAAAAAGTCAAAATTTTGTCTGGAAATCAGGGAAAAGTCAGGGAAGAATAAAATTTAATATTTTTGTCAACCCTGTTGTTGTAAAAGACAATAAAAATTGTTTTTGTTTGTTTTTTATAAAGAGAATAGCAAAAACTATTTCTGTTTTTCTCTCAATTTTTCATTTTAACTAGTGCGGTTTTTTTCTTTCTTCGAATTCTCTAAAATTTTTAAATCAATGGTGTTTTTTACAAATTTTTTTATAATATTTATTATTATCAGAGTTGCCACGCAACCTGGAAATTTCAGGGAATTTTTATAAACCTTAAAAAAACCTGGAAAAGTCAGGGAATTTTAATTGAAATCCTGGAAATTTATTGTTTTCTAAAGTTATTGTGATTATTCTTAAAATGTAATTTTTCTTTAATTTAATTTTCTTAATTCAATTTTAAAAGAGTTGCCTTCACAACTTTCCTTCGCAATAATTCAATTATTTTCATAAATAATTAAAAAATTTATAGATTTAAAATTATTTTCATAATCAATAAAACTCTTCGCAAAATTTCAATTAATTTTAATACAATTTTAATGGAATTTCTCGAAAAATGCGTATAATTATTCTTAAAAATTTTATTCAAATTCATCAAAGAAATTCAATTATTTTCAAAAGTAATAAAATTCTTCGCAGAAATTCAATTATGGTCAAAAGTTTAAAAAAATTTATCGTCAAAATTTCAATTATCTTTATAAATATTAAAATTTTTCTCCAAAATTCAATTATTTTCAAAAATTTTAATGAAACTCTTTTTAACAAATTCAATTTTTTTTCAAAAATTCTCCTCCAGTCAATGATTTTCAATATCTACTATTTTAATAAAATTTTCCAAAAGAAGTGAATTGTTTTAAACATTTTTTACAAATTTCTTCGCAATAAATCTATTATTTTCAAAAATATTCAATTTATGTTTACAGAGATTCAATTATTTTTATAAATATGTAATACAATTTTTTCAGGAATTGAATTATTTTTTTCATAGGTAATAAAACTCATTGCAGAAATTCAATTATTTTTTATACAATTTTAATCAAATTTCTCGAAAAATGTAATTATTCTTAAAATTTTATTAAAATTCGTCAAAATAATGCAATTATTTAAAAATTTGTTAATAAAATTCTTTATGAGAATTCAATTTTGGGAAACATTCAATTATTCAATAAATTATTTATTTTTGCATTAAAACTAATTAGGTTTTTAAAAAGAAATATTATTAAAAAATTCGTCTCAAGAATTCAATTATTTTCAAAAGTAATAAAATTCTTAGCAGAAATTCAATTATGGTCGAAATTTTTTAAAAACTCTTGTCAAAATTCAATTATCTTTAAAAATAATCAAAATCTTCAAATTTCAATTATTTTCAAAAGATTTAATAAGATTCTTTGCAAAAATTGAATTATTTTCAGAAATTTTTTCTCAATTCAATGATTTTCAATATCTACTGTTTTAATAAATTTTTTTTAAGAATTCAATTATTAAGAAAAAAATGTTGATAAAATTCTAAGCAAACTTTGCAATAATTTAATTATTTTCATAAATAATAACATTTTTACAGATATTTCATTATTTTCATGAATAATAAAGTTCATCATAGAATTTCAATTATTTTTCATACAAGTTTAGTTGAATTCATCGAAAAATTTAATTATGCTTGAAAATTTTATTAAAATTTCTCGAAAAAATTAAAATTTGTTAATAAAATTTTTTATGATAATTTAGTTTTGAGAATCATTTATTTATTCAATAAATTATTTATTTTAGTATTTAAATAATTGAATGCTTGTAGAATTTTCAATTAAAAATTGATTTAAAAATGAATATTAGTTAAAATTTTAGATAATAATTGAATAATAAAAGCATTATAGTATGAATTTTTAAAAATTTATAATTGATAATTGAATTTTTTCGATGAATATTAACAAAATTTTGAAAAATAATTACATTTTTCGAAGAATTTACTTAAAATTGTTTTAAAAATAATTGAAATCGTGGGAAGATTGTTATTAATTTATGAAGGTAATTGAATTCTTCCAATTAACAGTCTGTAATGAACTGTTAAATTATTTTGACTTCATTTAAATACATTTTTGGACATTTTTCTGAACAAGAAGGTACATAAATGAATCATTAATAACAGTAACTTTACGCTAAGATTATTTATGTCTGTAAGTTATGTTGACATAGTTAAATTTGAATTAATATTATTACACTGCAAGCCTGATCAGCGGTCACCCGATCAGTGGTCGCTTGTTTACGTCGTTTGTAGATGGGGCGGGCGAGGGGCCATAAGGGAGTCGAAAAGTTGTAACAGTAGCGTATACATTAAAGACGCTCTGGCCCCTTAAAAAAAAATTCAGTAGTCAAGTAATGGTAACCCATCATAAAACAGTTCGTACGGTCCTATATGTTTACGCCCGATCAGCGGTCGAGCACCCCCGGAGCTGACCGCTGATCGGGCTTGCAGTGTACTTTATTTAAATCAATTTTAAGGCCTTTTTTGAAATGATAATAAATATAAATTATTAAACAGTGTCTAAATTTCCAATATAATAGCAGCAATGGTTTTTCCTGTTTTAATTTTCGCCCTATTTCTAGTAAAATATATACGAATTTTGGTATTAATTTTTTTTCGTTTTCGTACTTAACTGATTCCAAAGATGTTGAAAGCACAACTTTTCTTAATTCATATCGCCTTGTCAAGAACATTTTACAACTGACAATTAATAAAATATTTAAACAAAAGAGAATTAAAGTTAAGTAATATTTGCTGTGATTGCTAGTAAAATATTTTATAAATTCCTAAAAAATAAAAGTAAATATACAAAACCTATCCTCACTTCATGTGAATAATAAGGAAGAAGAGAATAATGAACAATTACAATGTAAAAATATGGGGGTCGGTTTCGGACCACCCCCACTATTTTCACAAAATGTTTTGCCAATCACTTATATCAATGGAATCAATTTCAGTTTTTTTTAATGTTGTGCGTAGAAGTTAAGGTCATACACAATCAAAATTAATTTCGTAAAAATTTTCCTCTATTAAAAAAACACTGTTAGCTCGAATTCCGTATAGGTCAAAAATTAATTTAACCAATGCTAAAATCTAATATTGCTTGAATCTCCAAAATTCATCTCCAAAATCAAACGCATTGATAAAACCTATGGCCCAGCTGTTGGTGTTGTGAAAGTATTCGACTGATGGTACTGACGAATTTTTTTTTAGTGGTACCATCTTTAAGAAACATAAGGGGGTCGGTATGGTACAAGGGGTCGGTATAGGACCACCCTCCCCTAAAAAAAAATTTTTTTTGACTTTGGAATTTAAACTTTTTGGCAAAATTATAAAAAAAAACCAAAGACGATATTTACTGTCCATTGAATAGCAAATTATTTTTATATTTATTTATTATTGATGTACTAATCTGTTTTCCTTTTTATAGGTCATGAAATATTTAAAATTGTGATTATAGTGACCCAAAAGAATATTCTCGTTAATATGTCGGACCAAGAGAGCAGCGATGATTGCATGATGGGCAGGAGTCAGGAACAAGAAACACAGGTTTATTTTTCTTTTTTTTTCTACCCGAAAATTAAAAATTTGTTTATTCTTCTGAAAGAAGATGACAAAAAAATTTTATTCTTTTTAAAGATAATACAAAAAAATTATTTCTATTTTTATAAAAGAAATTTATAAAAAAGGTTTTTATTTTTCTACAAGAATAAAACAAAAATGTCTATTATTTAAAAAAAAACAAACAAAATAAATAAAAATTGTATTTTTGAGTTTATTCTTATCTTTTTAAACTTTTCGTTTGTTTCTAATTTTTTTTTCTTTTTAAGTAATTTTTTAAATTTCGTTAAATTTTTTAAATAAAAAAAATTCAATTCTATTGTAATTTTTCCCTTTTATAAACTGTATTTTTTTTAAAGTGCCAGTACCGCCAGTAAAAGAGTTTCGAAACCCCGTTAAGAGAATGGCGAATGTGCTTCGGGTGGTTCAACACATTCAGGAACGAGCACTATTAACTATTAACTTTTTTAATAAACTTAAATAAACAAATATTTTATTATAATTATTAGTAAAATTATTCGCAAGAATTAAATTAATTTCAATGTATTAAAAATATAATAGTAAAAAATATGCCTATTGATATATTGAAATAATTTTCTGTGATAACAAATTTTTTGTCTGTATTTTTAACTCATTTTTCATTTTCTCTAATAGAATTGTGGAATGTGGATTTCAATCCACCGGCGCGATTTCCAGTGGAAAAAATGATTTCCATCGACTTGGGCCTCAAGTATCCTGTTACAGCTAACGTTTTGGACACTGCTGATACTTTCGAAAAATTCGTGGCATTAACCTCTTAGGAATATAACCAACTTAGCGGTTCCAATAGAAGAATAAAATTATCTCATAAAATTTTGGGCAAAGAACTGAAACGGAAGGAGAAATTACGCAAAAATTTTAAATTAAACAATTAACATAATGATAGGAAAAGGGAAAAAATTTTTAAATACTATTCTCTCATTATGAAAATGAACAAAAAATTAAGACAAAAAAAACTTCAAGCCCTCGGGATGGCGACTAGAGTAGAAACATAAATTTTGGGATAATTTTGTGAACAAAAAATTGATTACAAATTCAAAAGATGTTCTCTTCATTTTAGGAAAATATATTCCTAATGTCGGATGTGGATACAGAAAATCTAATTTAAGAATGTTGATTGACATTTTAAGCAACAATTCCAAGGAATTGAAATAAAAAAACATCTTATATTCAAATCAAAATACTCATATTTATTTATTATTATTTATTATTGATGTACTAATCTGTTTTCCTTTTTATAGGTCAAGAAATATTTAAAATTGGGATTCTTGTGATCCAAAAGAATATTCTTGTTAATATGTCGGACCAAGAGAGCAGCAATGATTGCATGATGGGCAGGAGTCAGGAGCAAGAAACACAGGTTTATTTCTCTTTTTTTCTATTTAAAAATTAAAAATTTGTTTATTCTTCTGAAAGAAGATGACAAAAGATTTTTTTTTCTTTTTAAAGATAATAAAATAAATTATTTCTATTTTTATAAAAGAAATTTATAAAAAATGTTTTTATTTTTCTGCAAGAATAAAACAAAAATGTCTATTATTTAAAAAAAACAAAATAAATAAAAATTGTATTTTTGAGTTTATTTTTATCTTTTTCAACTTTTTGTTTGTTTCTAATTTTTTTTCTTTTTAAATAATTTTTGAAATTTCGTTAAATTTTTTAAATTAAAAAATTCAATTCTATTGTAATTTTTCCCTTAAATAAACTGTATTTTTTTTAGAGTGCCAGTACCGCCAGTAAAAGAGTTTCGAAACCCCGTGAAAAGAGTGGCGAATGTGCTTCGGGTCGTTCAACACCTTCAGGAACGAGCACTCCACCTGATGGTAATTAATTTTTATAATTCTTGAAAGTAAGGAACATAAAAAAGAATATCGATATTTTGTTATTATTTTTTATATATTCAGGAACTTTAATATAATTTATTCTTCGTAAGAATCCAATTATTTTAATAAATATTGGAAATCATTAGAAAAAATTTAATTATTTTTATAAATGAAGGGTGCGCTAAAACAAAGCATTAAAAGCCAGCACGACACTTTAACTTTTAGAGCCAATTATCAATAATGAATATCAGTTTATTGATAATAAAAAATTATTTATAATTATCATAAAGTTTAACTAAGTAAGAATTTTTTACTGATTTAACCATAATAATCTAACCTATGAATAATTGGCGCTTAATGCTTTGTTTTAGCGCACCCTTTAAAAAGTAAATCTTTGTTGCAAAAATTCAATTATTTTCAAGAAAACAGGCCTCGGATATCTTGAAAAATGCGATTTGTTTTTTACTTTTTTTAAAAAATGCGACTTTTTCAACATTTTTTTCTTGTTTAAAAAAAAAATTGTGTCAGAATTTCTCAAACGGATCACCTAAAACTAAAAAAATTTTTTATTAAACGAAAATAATCTCTTTTACTCTTAATATGGTTGAGAAAAATCCCTGAAAATATTAGGCCAAAAAAAATTTTTTGTTAAAGGGGATAAAATTTATAAGAGATCCCTCTAAACCAGATTTTGAATTTTAAATTGCTTATAATTTTTTTTAATCAAAGTTAATAATTTGCAAAATTTTTTTAGAAAAAATCATGTTTATTTTTTTACTTTTTATTGCAAATGATTGAAATTAATTTAAATTAGTCTAGCATGACAACCAGACAAAAAATAATTTTTAATACAATTTTTAGCTATCACAGCTAATAATTAGCAGTTTTAGCAAAAAATGTTTAAAGTCATTTTTTACCACAATTGACATGGATTGCTTGTATAAACATAAATTTGGCTGCAAAAAAAATTTTTTATAAAAAAGAACCAAAGTTGTCTATTTGTTAATTAAGATTGTTTGCGACAATTTAAATAAATTGTATTATAAATTATTATTTGTCTGTTGGCCATGCTAGACTAATTATAAACAATTTAAAATTCAAAAATTGGTTTAAAACCTCTTAAAAATTTTATCCCCTTAAATTTAAAACCAAGACCATCAAAATCCGATAAAATTTGCAGGCTCCAAACAATTTCAACATTAAATTGTAAAAAATGCCACTGTGCGCGGGGCGAGTTTAACGTCATGTAAAGCTCTACACAACTGCAGTTTTTAATTAATAACTTTTTTTTCTAATTGATGCTCATTTTCTTTCAAAACAGTTTTACACTCGGATACGTTTAAGGAATATAATACAATTTTAATTTTTTTGTTAGGACGTGAAGAACATATTTGTTTATTAACATTTTATAAATAAATAATATGAAAAAATTTAAAAACAAAATATATATTCAAATTGCGCAATTCAAGACAAAAAAAATCCATATTTGCAATTTTAAATCCGACATCTGGAACTCGAGAAAAAAATTTTTAATTTAGCAGTACTAAAAAATTCAATTGTTAATAACTTTAAAAAAAAATTTTTTGTCTTAATATTTTCAGGGATTGATTTTATTAATTACAATTATTCTAATATTATTATTATAATTATTTATTCATTCATTTGTAAACATTTATGCATAAAATTTATATATATCATTTTATTTTCTAAAATTTTTTACAAAATATTAGATAATTTTTTATGTCAAAATTTTGTTATTCAATTGTAACTATGTTCGTAGAGTACGTTGATTTGTTATTTGAATTGAAAATATTCTAAATATTAAAATCGATTTTTTCGACTTTTTTCAACTACAAAAGTCGATTCGAGGTCTGACTGAAAATTTAAAATTTTAATAATAACTTCTCCAAAGAATTTAATTATTTTTTGAAATAGTAATATTTGCAAAAAATTAATTGTTTTTAATAAAATTGTAATAAACTTAAATAAACAAATATTTTATTATAATTATTAGTAAAATTATTCGCAAGAATTAAATTAATTTCAATGTATTGAAATATAATAGTAAAAAATATGCCTATTGATATATTGAAATAATTTTCTGTGATAACAAATTTTTTTTCTGTATTTTTAACTCATTTTTCATTTTCTCTAATAGAATTGTGGAATGTGGATTTCAATCCACCGGCGCGATTTCCAGTGGAAAAAATGATTTCCATCGACTTGGGCCTCAAGTATCCTGTTACAGCTAACGTTTTGGACACTGCTGATAATTTCGAAAAATTCGTGACATTAACCTCTCAGGAATATAACCAACTTAGCGGTTCCAATAGAAGAATAAAATTATCTCATAAAATTTTGGGCAAAGAACTGAAATAGAAGGAGAAATTACGCAAAAATTTTAAATTAAACAATTTCCATAATGATAGGAAAAGGGAAAAAATTTTTAAATACTATTATCTCAGTATGAAAATGAAAAAAAAAATTAAGACAAAAAAAACTTCAAGCCCTCGGGATGGCGACTAGAGTAGAAACATAAATTTTGGGATAATTTTGTGAACAAAAAATTGATTGAAAATTCAAAAGATGTTTTCTTCATTTTAGGAAAATATATTCCTAATGTCGGATGTGGATACAGAAAATCCAATTTAAGAATGTTGATTGACATTTTAAGCAACAATTCCAAAGAATTAAAATCAAAAAACATCTCATATTCAAATCAAAATATTCATATTTATTTATTATTATTTATTATTGATGTACTAATCTGTTTTCCTTTTTATAGGTCAAGAAATACTTAAAATTGGGATTCTTGTGACCCAAAAGAAAATTCTCGTTAATATGTCGGACCGAGAGAGCAGCGATGATTGCATGATGGGCAGGAGTCAGGAGCAAGAAACACAGGTTTATTTCTCTTTTTTTCTATTTGAAAATTAAAAATTTGTTTGTTCTTCTGAAAGAAGATGACAAAAAAATTTTTTTCTTTTTAAAGATATAAAAGAAATTTATAAAAAATGTTTTTATTTTTTTACAAGAATAAAACAAAAATGTCTATTATTTAAAAAAAAGAAACAAAATAAATAAAAATTGTATTTTTGAGTTTATTTTATCTTTTTCAACTTTTTGTTTGTTTCTAATTTTTTTTCTTTTTATTTAATTTTTGAAATTTCGTTAAATTTTTTAAATGAAAAAAATTCAATTCTATTGTAATTTTTCCCTTTAATAAACTGTATTTTTTTAGAGTGCCAGTACCGCCAGTACAAGAGTTTCGAAACCCCGTGAAGAGAGTGGCGATTGTGCTTCGGGTGGTTCAACACCTTGAGGAACGTGCACTCCACCTGATGGTAATTAACTTTTATAATTCTTTAAAGTAAGGAACATAAAAAAGAATATCGATATTTTGTTATTATTGCTTCCTCATAAAGGAAGCTTTGTATTAGCAAAATTTTTGATTGTCATTGTTTGACATATTTATAAATTGTTTTTTATTATGCCTAATACTTCAGTACTTTATATATGCACAGGAACTCCCTGTATAAATGTTATAAATGAATAAAAAAAAATTTCGCCGTATTTTGAACTCCGAAGTCCAAAAAACGGATTTTAAAAATTTGTCCCGATGTGTGTGTGTGTGTGTACTAACATTACATTTGCCTCAATATCTCAGAACAAGAAAGAGCTAAATTCCTCAATTTTTTTTAAATTGTAGGTCTCTCCGGGAGACATAAAATGAGAGTATTTTCAGCCCGATTCATGAAGTTTAACTATTTTTTTTTTGCATTTTTCATTTTATAAAATAGTATATTAAGCAACAAGAGGAGAAAGGCAGCCATTTCTTTACGGTGATTTTTGTGACACGAGTGGAGGTCGAGGGCGCCGTAGGCGCCCCGAGACCTCCACTCGTGTCACAAAAATCATCGTAAAGAAATTGGCTGCCTTTATTCTCGTGTTACTTACGATATTTTTTATTCCTAATGCACAAAAGCGGCGATTTCAGATAGCAGACGACAGGGAGTAAAAGTCATTCACTTGTTCGATTTGTATGAAAATGGCGGCCGATTTCTCCCTTGGGCAAGAAAAATGCATGTGAACAGCTAATTTTCTTGCCCTTGGGAGAACACGGCCGCCATTTTCATACGGTCGAAGAAATGAATGACTTTCCTCCCTGTCGGCTGCTATCAGAAAGCGCCGTTTTTGTGCATGTGGGATAAAAAAACGTTTTTTGGACGTAACTTAAAAAAATGTTAGGACACTTATAAATGTTTTTCTTTAGTTTTGTAGAGTTTTTTCACACGCATCTTTTGAGCTCTAATTGAATATTTTTCGTTCATATTAACCGGAAATATTAAACTTTAAAAAATAAAAAATTTTAGAAAATAAGACTTTTTTGAAAATTTTGTTGAGAAATGTAGAAGTTTTGTTTTGTTTTGTATTTAGTTTTGTAGAGTTTTTTCAGACGCATCTTTTGAGCCCTAATTGAACATTTTTCGTCCATATTAACCGGAGATATTAAACTTTTAAAAATCTAAAATTTTGAAAAATAAGACTTTTATAAAAATTTTTTTTAATTATGTAAAAGTAACTTCAAAAATTATTACCAACTTGAAGAGCATTAAAAAACGCTTCGATTGACCTATTTTTGAACCTGATTCGGGCAGAAATTATGAAATTATTGGTATTTGAAAAATCAAAAATTGTGGAAAATTAACCCTTTTATAAAAAGTAATTCTTATATTTCAATTATTATTATTTTTATGAGGAAGCAAAGTGTTCATGGAATGAACACCAAAATTATAAAAATGTACAACTTGGCAGCGGTTTTTTTTATTATTTTTTTATATATTCAGAAACTTTAATATAATTTATTCTTCGTAAGAATCTAATTAATTTAATAAATATTAAAAATCATTTGAAAAAATTTAATTATTTTTATAAATGAAGGGTGCGCTAAAACAAAGCATTAAAAGGTAGCACGACACTTTAACTTTTAGAGCCAATTATTAATAATGAATATCAGTTTATTGATAATAAAAAATTATTTATAATTATCATAAAGTTTAACTAAGTAAGAATTTTTTACTGATTTAACCATAATAATCTAACCTATGAAAAATTGGCGCTTAATGCTTTGTTTTAGCGCACCCTTTAAATAATAAATTTTTGTTGCAAAAATTCAATTATTTTCAAGAAAACAGGCCTCGGATATCTTGAAAAATGCAAGTTTTTTTTTACTTTTTCTAAAAAAATGCGACTTTTTAAACATTTTTTTCTTGTTTTAAAAAAAATTCGTAAAGGAATTAGAAAAGACCAAGATTTTATTGTTGAATTTGGAAATGATGTTACCAATTTTATGCAAAGTGCATTAAATAACAAGGAAATTGTAAAGTATATCATTGAAAGAGAAAAGGCAATATATTTAGGATCTTTTGCCCTTTACTTTCACGGAGGACGTGGACGTTTAAAAGACTTCTTGTGGGAAACTATGAAAAAGATATTTAAGGATTTTCAAAAAGCAACCGGTTTTGAAGTCTTTGATAAGACAAATAGAAGATATATGTTGAGGGAAAGAATGAAGCAACTCGAAACTAATTGGAAGAATTTAATTTCATTAAACTTACGAAGGAAGAAGAATGAATAAATTTTTCATGTGCCACATTCAAAATGATCCAAAAGATCCTACACCCAGATTGTACCGGGAAAAATTAATAAAACAATTATTTGAAGAGAATGTCCATCCGACGAATTTAAAGTTTTTTAAGAAACTTTTAAAAGGAAGTCCAAAGAATTTGAATTTCACAAAAATTGATATAAATTACTGGAGATTCTTATTAATTTTGAAAAAAATTCGAAAATACATGATTCATCACAAAAAACCGTCATTCGATTTATTTCCAAAAGCGAAAATAACTGATACCTGCGTGTCGTACACAACTTACAGTATTCAAGAATTTTTCAAGCAGCATAATCTTGTAAATGATGAAGCGAACATGGCAGAAGAGAATGATTTAAGCGAAGCAGAAAAAATCAAACGAAAATGGAGTACATTTATTCACTTGGGAGAAAAAAATTGGAATCGGTTCGCAGGCAGTTTAACTACAAATTGTTTTGAAGTTCATCTAGGAGTTCAAAAACAAAATTGGTAAATATTTCATTCTATTTAAAGTAATACTGTTCCAGTTTAAAAAGAAATAATTGTTTAAATTGAAATTTAAACAATTTAATTTGGAAAAATTAATTATTTGCTATTTTTTGTTAACAGATTGACGAATGCTGAATCGGACTGCTGAATCGAATTCCTCGAGAGATTTTCTTCCTTTTTCATATTTCGATTGAAAAAATGGTAGCGTTTACCTAACTTGTTAAAAATTTAATTATCGTGAATGACTTTTCTGCATCAATGTTGAGATTAAAGTTTGAATTTGTTTTCTGACAAGTACCATTTGACGACTCTAGATTCATGTAAGTTGATGTACTTTTTTAATACGATAAAAAAAACTCGAAAAAACGGATGAGATTCGACGACAATTATATATATATACAGCGAACCTGAAAAAAGAAAGAGAATTACTTTCTCGAGAGATTGCTTTAAATTTTATATTACGATTAAAATAAAATGTTGCGTTTACCTAATTAGTTGAAAAAATTATTTTTTGTGAGTTAATTTTCTTAACGATGACAATTGTATTAATACTGCGAACTTGAAAAAAGAAAGAAAATTACTTTCTCGAGAGATTTCTTTAAATTTCATATTACGATTAAAATAAAAGGTTGCGCTTACCTAACTCGTTAAAATTTAATTATCGTGAATGACTTTTCTGCTTCAATGTTGAGATTAAAGTTTGAATTTGTTTTCTTACAAGTTCCACTTGGCGACTCTAGATTCATGTAAGTTGATATACTTTTTTTAATACGATAAAAAAAACTCGAAAAAACGGATGAGATTCGACGACAATTGTGTATACTGCGAACTTGAAAAAAAAAGAAAATTACTTTCTCGAGAGATTTCTTTAATTTTCATATTACGATAAAAAATGGTTGCGTTTTTACCTAACAATAAAATAAAAAAATTATTTTTCGTGAGTTACTTTTCTGAACGACGACAATTATGTAAATACTTCGAAGAAAAATGGTTGCGTTTACCTAACTCGATAAAAATTTAATTATCGTGAGTTACTTTTCTGTTTCAATGTTCAGATTAAAGTTTGAATTTGTTTTCTTACAAGTTCCATTTGGCGACTCTAGATTCATGTAAGTTGATATACTTTTTTTAATACGATAAAAAAAACTCGAAAAAAGGATGAGATTCGACGACAATTATATATATACAGCGAACTTGAAAAAAGAAAGAAAATTACTTTTTCGAGAGATTGCTTTAAATTTCATATTACGATTAAAATAAAAGGTTGCGTTTACCTAATTAGTTAAACAAATTATTTTTCGTGATTTACTTTTTTGAACGACGATAATTATGTAAATACTTCGAAGAAAAATGGTTGCGTTTTTACCTAACTCGTTAAAAATGTAATTATCGTGAATGACTTTTCTGCTTCAATGTTGAGATTAAAGTTTGAATTTGTTTTCTTACAAGTTCCATTTGGCGACTCTAGATTCATGTAAGTTGATATACTTTTTTTAATACGATAAAAAAACTCGAAAAAACGGATGAGATTGGACGACAATTGTATTAATACTGTGAACTTGAAAAAAGAAAGAAAATTACTTTCTCGATAAGGTTTCTTTAATTTTCGTATTACGATTAAAAAAATGGTTGCGTTTTTACCTAACTCGATAAAAATTTAATTATCGCGAGTTACTTTTCTGCTTCAATGTTCAGATTAAATTTTGAATTTGTTTTTTGACAAGTTGCTTTCTGCGATTCTTGATTTATGTAAGTTGATATACTTTTTTTAATACGATAAAATAAACTCGAAAAAACGGATGAGATTCGACGACAATTGTATATATACAGCGAACTTGAAAAAAGAAAAAAAATTACTTTCTCGAGAGGTTTCTTTAAATTTTGATATTACAATTTGTTTATTGCGATTATAAACTCATCTAAATTTCCTATAGTTTTTTTACTTTTCTCTTTTAATTGTTTAATAAATTTTTTAATTCTTGGAAATATTGTGCAAAAATTATTTGTTTCCTTAATTTTATATTTATATTTGTATATTATGCTTGTTTATATTTTTGACTTTTGATTAATTAATTTGATGATAACGTCTCAAATATTTTACAAAAATTATTTTTTAAGCAATAAATTCGTCAGAAAAATGAAATTTATCGGCAGGCACAGTTGGTGACTAATTCGAATCACGAAAGTGCTTCCTTAAATTTTTCACGTCCCTTTGTTCTCCACTCAATCAATCTAGGTATCTATGGAAAAAAAGTTTATTATCAAAAAATTCTTTTTTACTTCAAATTTTTATTTTCAATATCACGGACAGCAGTACCTCCTTTTCATAATCTGTAAGATGATCGAAATATTTATTCCAACTACCTCACAATTGATTGTTACAACAGGGTTGCCACGCAACCTGGAAACCTGGAAATGTCAGAGAATTTTTATAAACCTTGAAGAAACCATGGAAAAGTCAGGGAATTTTAACTGGAATCCTGGAAAATTATTGTTTTCTAAAGTTATTGTACTTATTCTTGAAATGTAATTTTTCTTTAATTCAATTTTCTTAATTTAATTTTAAAAGATTAAAAAAGCCTTTACAATTCTTCTTCGCAATAATTCAATTATTTTTATAAATAATCAAAAAATTTATAGATTTACAATTATTTTCATAAATAATAAAACTCATCGCAAAATTTCAATTAATTTTAATACAATTTTAATGGAATTTCTCGAAAAATTCGTATAATTATTCTTAAAAATTTTATTCAAATTCATGAAAGAAATTCAATTATTTTCAAAAATAATACAATTCTTCGCAGAAATTCAATTATGGACAAAAGTTTAAAAAAATTTATCGTCAAAATTTCAATTATCTTTATAAATATTAAAATTTTTCTTCAAAATTCAATTATTTTCAAAAATTTTAATGAAATTATTTTTAACAAATTCAATATTTTTTTCAAAAATTCACTTCAATATGTACTATTTTAATAAAATTGTCTAAAAGAAATGAATTGTTTTAAATTTTTTTTACAAATTTCTTCGCGATAATTCTATTATTTTCAAAAATATTCAATTTATGTTTACAGAGATTCAATTATTTTTATAAATATGTAATACAATTTTTTACAGGGATTCAATTATTATTTTCATAGATAATAAAACTCATAGCAAAGTTGAAAAAAAGTTATAGTTAAAATTTCATTTATTTTTATAAATATTAAAATTTTTCTCTAAAATTCAATTATTTTTAAAAATTTTAATAAAATTCTTGGCAATATTTCAATTATTTAAAAACATTTAATAAAACTCTTGACAAAATTTCAATTATTTTCAAAAACTTTTCTCTCAATTCAATGAAATGATTTTACAGAGATTCAATTATTTTTAATACATTTCTAATCTAATTTCTCGAAAAATGAAACTACTCTTAAAAATATTATTGAAATTCGTAAAAAGAATTTTAATTACCTATTTAAAAATTTGTTGATAAAATTCTTTAAATGAGAGTTTAATTTTAAAAAACATTGAATTCTTCAATAAATTTTTTTTTGTTTAAATAATTGAATTCTCGTAGAAGTTTCTAATAATAATTGATTGAAATATGAATTTCAGTTAAAAATTTAAATAATAATTGAGTTTTGAAAAGCAGGTCTTAAATGACCTTTTTTGTAAAAAAAAAATAAAAATTTGTATTAAATTTTAAAAGAAAATATTTACGTGATATTTCAATTGTTCGCCAACGGAACAATAAACATAGAATACTGCCAACATGTAGGCAATAAATAAAATCATGATTGCTATTGGAATTAAAGGAAATTCATCCTTACTTTTGCCGATGATCTACAAACACTTGAAAAATATTAATAAGCAACAAATAAGTTTTTTTCTAGTTCCTAAATATAAGACAATAATTTTTTTTCAAAACAATACCTACAACATTAAGTTGGAATGCCTGGAGACAAAATTCAATAGTGCTAATGAGAATTTCAACTAAAAGTAACATATTGAATGCTTCCTCGATTGCAATGACAAATCTACAATATTTAAAATATTTTAAAAAATTATTGAATTTTGAAAAATGTGTATTAAAAATCAAAATTATTTTATTATTATTATTATTATTATTATTATTATTATTATTATTATTATTATTATTATTATTATTATTATTATTATTATTATTATTATTTTACAATAAAAACGAAGAAGAAACTGCATATTGAATTTCACAACGTTTATAATCTATTTTTATGTAGAATTTTTAACTATGAACTGTTTTTTGGGAAAAAATTGGTTTTTATGTAATTTTTTATTTTTCAGAAACTTTTTATTGTTGTTTTTAAAATTGCTTGATCAACTATATTTTAAATGGAAAAATTCTCAAAGGAACATTTTTAATTTTTTTTTTTGCGATTGAAAACTCAATTTTCTTCACTGAAAAAAAATTCATTTGATTCGAATAACTGATTCCTTGATTTAAATAATTTTTAATTAATTCAAATTATGTGTTTTAATTGTTGATCATAAAAGTTTTTGGATTTTAGCGACGAACAAAAAAATTAACAACAATATATTAATAAATTAATAAGGAAAAAAAATATACAGATTTATTTATTTGTTCTTTGAAAATTTTGTTTGTTTTCAAATATGATTTATAAAATAAAATAATAATTCTTAATAATTTTTTATTTTTTTTTTTTGCAGGTCAGTTTCCATAATTTCAAGTGACTGATGTAAAAATAGAAGTAAGTGATTTTATTTTCTAGATTTTTTATTGTAATGTGTTTACATTACTTTAAATTTAGACTTTAAGGATTTATTTATTAATTTATTTAAAATTTTACAGAATGGTATATTTATTAATATTTTAGAACTAGAAATATTTTTTTGTTTATTTATTTGAACATAAACGGTTTTTAAAATGAGTCCTTCCGTATAATACTTATTACTTATAATAATAATTTTGATAAAAAAAAGTTTATTTATTTATTTATTTATTTACAGTTGATTTCAATTAAAAAATCGGATAAATCTTTATTTTTCGAATAATTATTTAAAATTAATTGAATACTGAAAGAAATTAAAATTACTCTTACAATTTTACGAAGTAAAAACTTATGCGTTAATTTTATCATTATTTCTACTAAAATCTATTTCCAGTGTAGTAAAATTTACTTCTTAAATAATAAAAATCGACAAAACTTCTCAAAAAATCCGGAGGCAATTTAGTATTTACTACATGAAAAAGTTTCTTCCTTAGTTTTTCTTTTTATTTAAAAAAAAGAAAAATTTAGCTGAAACTTTAATAGAATGGAATTTTATAGAAGAAAATTTGTATTTAAATTTGAAAATAGTAAAAATTTGTAATCCTGTTGATAATGACTGTATTATTAACTCTATTATTAAATTATTATTAAATAAATAAATGAATAAAATATAATTTTCATTATAAAAGAAATTATAACTTTTTTATTTCGTAAAATTATAAATTACATTTTATAAATAATAAATTTATAAATTATAATTATAATTAGTACAAAAAATGACCTGTTAAGTTGTTGATTTCTTTGAACAATAATAGCGAATTCCTCTTGAAATTGTTTTTTACATTTTTTATTGACAATTTCCTCAATGACATTAATTAAACGATATTTTAATACTGCAAATTGTCCACACAGGTGGATTATTAAAATTCCAAAAAATCCATGTACACCCGCATAGGTGACTGTTGCAAGAAATGTTGTTAAACATTGCATGAGCCATGTCATCTCAAACATTGGAGTAAAATTTGTCTCATAAGGAAAATGAGAGACAAGAAATAAACGACGTTCATTACTATTATTGAAACTACTCAATTTATCGGCAATAATATTATAATAAATTTCACCCGCCGTATGAAATTGAAATGTTCCCTGTGACAATATTAGACAAATTAATGATAATTTCCTTGGAATTATTCCAATCTTCATTTATCGAAGTCACAATTGGCCTTAATTCTTCATATTGCAAATTAGAAATTAGAAATTAGAAATAAATTTATTATAAAATGTATTAATTAGAAAAAAATTTAAATTACACGGAAAAAAATTTGAAGCAGTCGTAAGTTTCTCTCGAATAGCCAAACTATTAATTGAAACTTGAAACAACTGAAAATTTTACTTTAGTAAAATTTGTATTATATAAAGATTTTTTTTCCGTGTAAATAAAAAAACTAAAAAAGTAACTAAAAAATTGAATTTTTATTTTTATTTTCAATTTTTTGATTCTCTTACCTGATTTATTTTTCTGGATGACATAAATCATATGAGAAGAATAATTATAGATGGAAGCTCAACTTTGCAAAGAATTTCGGACATTACGTCAATGTCTCCCCAGAACATAATTAATTTCATTGTTTGCGATAAAATTATGAAGAAAAAAATACATATAAAAATAGTAACAACACGGATAATTGTTCATAATCCTTCCGATTCGTCGGACCATATTCCAATAATTTTCAAACTAATCTTGCAAATTCTCGTGCAATGATTTGCAGCTATTCAAATTTATTTTCATTAATCAACGAATCAACAAATCTTTTATTTTGATAAAGAAACAAATAAGTAAAGAGAAAAAGCAAAAGAAAAAAAGAATAGAAAAATAAATAAAGCAAAAGAAAAATTACTACTAAAAAAATTTTGTTTATTTGTTATTTTTAATTTAGAATTTTTTACATTATTTATTTTAAATTGTTATTTTTAATTTCAACTATTTTACCTTATTCTCTCTAAATTCTTTTTAAGAAAAATAAATGGAATATTTAGAACTTATAAATAGTGGTTTAAATAAATTATGAAAATTGTTTTATAATTCATGTTTCTGAATTCAAATGAATATTTATTTACACGAAAATAATGTTTTCTTTTAAGGAAGTAAAAATTTATTTGTGCCAAGTATTTAATTATTTATTTTTATTTTATTTATTTAATTGTTATTTTATTTTTATTGTTTTATATATAATTTTATAGTCATTATTTTAGTCATTGTTTTAATGCAGATACTAACATTTCTTTAATTGCCTTAAATAATTGATTATTTAGTTCAAAATCAAAATTTATTTCTATTAAAAAAAATTGTTTTAAATAAATCTAAATTTTGATTTAAATTAGAAGGTATTAAAAAAATGTATTTATTTCTTTCATTAATATTTTTTTTAATTTGTTTAATATTAATACCTTTTTCACCGTCCATTGAAGTTATTGTAATCCAAAGGTTTCGTTAACTATACTATAACCGATTAAACCCTTTCATGGGGGAAGTTTTTTTTAGTTTGATCGACGCATGCTCTTTTGAATTAGGCACACTGCACCCTCTTTTTCTGATCATTTAATAATTCACCAATTTACCAATTGCGAAAAACTGTGAGGCTAGTTCTTAAAAAGTTTCACTGCTCTTCTTAATTTATAAAATTTGTCAAATTATTATAAGTCTTTAGCTCACAAATTTTTTTCTTTTTTCATTCATTAATTTAATTATTTTCTCTAAATCTAATTAATAAGTTCTTTAAATCTAAATTGTAAATTAGTGAAAATTAATCCGCTAATTAACATTATTATAAGATTATTCACTAATTTTTAGTTGAATATTACTATTTTGTTCAGTAGTAAGTAATTTTTTTTTATTAAAGTTTAAGTAAGATGTGACTAAATTTTTAAAATTTGAAAAAAATTTTTAGGAATCTTTAAAAATCTTATTTAAAATACATAACTTAAAATACACACTTAAAACTTGAAAAGATGAAAAATAACTAAACTAGTGAAAATTCTTACTATTGCAAATTAGTAGCTCAATCCTCACTAATTTGAAATTTAGAGAGAGAAAGAGCAATTTTTTACTAATTTTCAGTAAAATTTTCCAATTTCATTTAGTACCTATAATTTAAAATTTCTTCAATTTTTCAGTAAAATTTTTAATTTTCAGTACAATTTTCTTATTTCATTTAGTACCTAACTTAAAATCCCTTCAATTTTTATAACAAAGAGTTAAAAATTTGTTGCTTTTGTGAAAAGTTTTCGAAATTTTAGTTTGTTAATTGACCAAGAATTAGTGGAAATTTTGAACTGTTATTTAAATTAATAAATTTATAGCCAATTTTAAATAATAAAAAGTTAAAAATTTGTTGCTTTTGTGAAAAGTTTTCGAAATTTTAGTTAGTGAATTGACCAAGAATTAGTGGAAATTTTAACTATTAATTAAATTTACAGTCATTTTACTTAAAATTTATTTAACCTTCTACTTAAAAAAAAAAAATTCAAAAAGTTTATAATTATAATTATTTCCATAAAATTTACAGACGAATATTTTTTTTTAAATTTAAAGTTCACTCAGAAAATACTATCATATTAAAATAATACATAAGAAATTGAATATCAGTAATGAAAAAAAAAGTTTACAACTTTTTTTGTTTGCAAAAAAGACGATATTCGATTAATTTCTTCTTCGTGTGTTCATGTGCTTCGAGTGTTCTAATAGAAAAAAAAATTGCAGTTATCAGCATTAAAGGCTTTAGACTTAAAAAAAATTAAGTTTTTTGCAATTAAACACAGGTTAATTAAAAGTGGATAATATATCAAATAAAATGGTCAAGAAATTGCACATTCACTTTTTTTATTTTGCAACAATTTTTTATTATTCAATGTATGATTAAATATTTTATCTTATTTTCTTTATTAATAATTAGTTATTTAAAAATCCGTTAATAATTTTATAATTCTCGTTAGATTGCTTTCTTCCTCTTGTATAAATATTATAAAATTGCTTATAATCGTGTACAAATAAACAATAAACTATTATGTATACAATATAATATTACACTGAGAAAACAATATAGAATCAAATATAATTATGTTTATTATACAGTCAATCAAAAATTATTTTTGAATTAAACAATAATTTTTATTCAATAAAAATTACTTTTAATTGAAAATTATAAAATATGTAAAATAAAAATAATTCAAACATATTTGTCAACTTATTTTTGGAATTTTTTTATTTTATTTTTATTATTTTGGATTGAAAAAAAATTTATCTGTGTATATATTTTAAATGTATAATAGTTTATTGTTAGTAATAGTTTTATTAATATTATTTATATAAACAATTTATTATATTATGTGCTGTGTAATGAATATAGTGAATATTATTTTATAATTTATACATATTTTTAACGCGTCACGAAGAAAACGTTTATAATGACGATTTAAAAGAAAAAATAATTTCCTATTAAAAAAATTTTTACAATGTTTCTTAATCAACAAGTTAAGAAAGAAAAATAATGTAAACGTAAAATATTATTTTCTGAGTAAAAAAATTTTTTTTCCTTCCAATCATTGCGATGAAACCCTTTCTTCTCACGATGCGTCTTTTTATTTTGTAATAAATTATCTATATAACTGTCAGTGTACAAAAAACAAATTAATCAAGTCCTTGTAAAAATATAAATTTCTTATTGTCACAATACTGTTACACTTTTTGTTGCATCGTTAAAAATACCGACAAAATAGCAACTGATTTCTTAATTATCTGAAAGGAGATATTTTAAAATTATTTAGAAAGAATTAATATAAATGTTTTTTTAATATTCTTTTGTAATTTGTTTCCCACAAGGAAAACTTTTAAATTTTATTTATATAAATAATATTTTATAACTTATTAAATTATTAAGTAAAATTATTATTAAATTCTTATATTAAAATAATTTATTTATTTTATAAATAATTTTTTTCTTCATTTTTATTTTATTAATAATTCATTAATTCAATACAAACCATAGCAAAAGTCTCATAAGAAAATACACAGAATTTTCCAGCAGTTATTTCCAATGGTGATTCGGTCTTTAAAAATAGCATTATTAAATTTTTAGCATCCAGTGTCTGTAAATTGTACCATTTACTTTTGTAAACACTGTATTGTAACTTAAAAACCTGAAATTATGAAAAAAAATGTTATATGCAATTTTTTTATTAAAAAAAAATAATTTTTTTTCTATTATAAAAATAATAGTATGAAAATTAATTTTTTAGTAAATAAAATTAAATAAATAAAATCTGAAATTCAAAATTCAAAATTAGAAATAATTATTTTTTATTTACTTATTTGTAGTTAAAATTTTTCTTATCTCTACAATAAAAATGATTAAATTTTAATTAATTAATAATTAGGTAATGATTTGAATTAATTTAAGGACAATTTTACATGAATAAATTCAATAAATTTGTATCTATTCAAAAACAATTTTTTTTCAAAAAAACTATTTAAAAACTAATTTTTATTCAATAAATAAAAAAATAATCAAAGTAATAAACAATTGTTTAAACTTACTGCAATTTTTAACTTTTCCCCAAGATAGCATACAACAAACAGATTTGCTAAAATAGTAAAAATGTAAGCCAGACAGAAGAAAAAATCCAAAAAAGTAATTGTATTTGTTCTGTGCATAAGCTACAATAAGAAAAAATTATTAATTTGAAATAAAAAGGCCTATTACTAAATATTAAAAAAAGAATTATTATTAAATACTCTACTGGAAAAAATTTATTTTATTTATTACTAACCATGAGATTATAACATTGCATTGATAATTGCAAAGAATATAGTATCATTTCCACAAGAAATACATGATTAAATGTGTCCTCAATTGTTGACGCAAATCTTCAAATTTAAACATATATTTCATTTTCGAATCAAAAAGAATTTTTATTTATTGAAAAAAATAAATACAAACAAAATTTTTTAAAAAATATTTTGTTCTCTATATTGCTTGACAACAGGATTTGCAATTTCAAAAATAATAATTATTACAGTAGTAATTAATACTAAAAATGCAAAAAATTAATACTATTGAAAAATATTATAATTGAACATTTATTTTGGTAAAAAAAATCAAGTTTTTAATTGTAAAAGAAAAATAGTTTATAATAAAGTAAAAATATTGTCGTCCGAAAATTATATAAAATTGAAAAATTTTTAAAGAAATGAAATTTAGACAAATTTTTCAAAAATAAATTGAAAATTTTAAAACAATTTTTATCATAAATTTAAAAAAAATCAAGTTTTTAAAAAATTTTTATTATAAATATGAAAATTTATGATTTTTCAAAAATTTTAATGCTAAAATTCTTAAAAGAAAATTTTCAACAATTTATTAAACGAATTTATGCAAAATATTTTAAAAAGTCAAGTTTTTATGAAGCTTTTATAACAAAATACGAAATTTTATGATTTTTCCAAAAATGTTAATGATAAAATTCTTAAAAGAGAGAATTTTCAACATTTTTTAAAACTAATTTTTGCAAAATATTTTTAAAAAATAGATAGTCAAGTTTTCAAAAAATTTTTATTATAAATATGAAAATTTATGATTTTTCAAAAATTTTAATCATAAAATTCTTAGAAGAAAATTTTCAACAATTTGTTAAACGAATTTTTACAAAATTTTTTAAAAAGTCAAATTTTTTTTGAAACTTTTGCGAAACTTCAATTATTTTCAAAAATTTTTCTCTAAAATTGTTTTCTCTAAAATTGAGTTATTTTCAAAATTTTCCATTTCAAGATTTTTTTATTAAAACTTTTGTGACTTGAATTATTTTTAAAATTTGCCATTATAAAATTCTTCAAAATTTGATTTTTGAAAATTTTCTTGAAATACTTAGAAAAAAACCAATTAATAAAATCTTTAAAAATTTCAGTTATTTAATAAGTTTTTAATTTTAATATAATATTTCAAAAATTTAATTTTTTGTAATATAAAAAATAAAATCAGTTGTAATTTTTATCGAAAAAGTCGCCTTTTTTTGAAATAGTGGAAAACATTTCAAAAAGTATTTCAGTTGAAGAGAAAAATTAAAGTTATTTTCTTAATAATTAAAATCACAGTTCAATTAATAAATTTTATTGACGAAAAATTAAATAACTTGATCACAGTTTTTCTAGGAATATCAAATTGAGACAAAAAACGTATCAAAAGTGTTGCATCGCAACAATTTGATAACTTAATAATTAATAATTTAATAATAATTAATAATAATAATATTAATAATTAATAATTTGATAATTAAAATTCTTTTTTCAACAATTTGATATCCTCAGAAAAACTGTGAAGAAATTAGAGTAGTTTCTCGGAAAATAAATTTGAATTACTATTTACCTATTGAGATCTTCATGTTTTGTGACAATAACTTTCAATTTTGTTAAAAATTCTTTGGAATTTGAAAAATTCTTTGAATTAACGAGCGATTCAATATTATGTTCCAAAATGGAAAACTGACTATGAACATGTAAAATGAGTAGAGAACAAAAACTGAGAATTCCAACAAAAATAACTGACGAATAACTGGCTCCAGAGCATTGAAGAAAGCAAGTTATTTCATAGGCAGGACTTTTTAAAAAGTCATATGGATAATAAGCGATATAAAATAATTCTCTATCCCTTTCAGCACGTCTACTATTTACAAAAGTACGTTCAAAAATATGCGATCCAATTGCTGATGCTGTGATAATGAAGGAAGTAATAGAAATTGTTTTTGCAATTTCAGCATCACTTCTCATTAATTCTATTTCCATTTTACTTTTTGAACGATTCCAATCATCGTAAATTGAAGCAACCAATTTCTTTAAATCTAAATAAAAAGTTTTGAAAATTAGTTTTTAAATTTAAGTGAATAGAAATTTTTTGTTTTGAAAAAATTTTTTCTTTACATACTAAAACATGAAGATATCGAAGACATATCTCTGTTTTATAATAATTGAAACATCCATAAAATTTTTTAGAAAAAATCAAATTATTTACAAAAATTTTTTATAAAATTCTTCGCTAGAATTCAATTATTTTTACAAGCAATACAATTTTTTACATGAATTCAATAAATTAAGTGCAAGAATTCAATTATTTTCGTAAACAATAAAATTTTTCACACGTTTTTGATTCCTATTTAAAAGAAATGTATAATGAAAATTCGTTGCAAGATTTCAATTATTTTCATAAATAATAAAATTTCTCACAGGATTTCTATTATTTAAAAAGAAATGTAATAAAAATTCGTTTGCAATAATTCAATTATTTTCCTAAGTAATAAAATTATCACAGGATTTTAATTATTTTTAATACAATTTTAAGTAAATTCTTCGAAAAATGTAATTGTTTTCAAAAATTTTATTAAAATTCTTCAAGAGAAATCAATTATTCATTGTCAATTATTTTTAATAATTTTTGAAAAAGTTCATTGACAACTTTCAAATCCATTTTGTTTACAATTCAATTTTACAAAATTTCGATTACTTGGAAATTCTTAAATTTAATATAATATTAGAAAATAAAAACTTCATATCATTTCTAAAAAAAATCAAATAAACTTTTTCAAAATAATTAATTCTACAGAATTGTTAGTTAAAAATATGAAAAATTCAAATTTTAAAAGATTTTAATTTCAAACCTTTTCAAAATTCAATTATTTCTAAAAATCCACTCAAGATTGTTTCTAATATTCAATTATTATTTAAAATTTTAACTGAAATTCATTTTTAAATCAGTTTTTCTTTGAAAGTATTACGAGAATTCAATTATTTAAGTACAAAAAAACATAATGTATTGAATAATTTGAAAGTTTTTTAAAATTGAATGCTTAAATTCATAATTTTCTGAACAAATTTTTAAACATTTGTATTCTTTAGGCGAATTTTAATAAATTTTTTAAAAATAATTACATTTTTCGAGAAATTCGATTAGAATTGTATTAAAAATAATTGAAATTCTGTCATGAGTTTTATTATTTATAAAAATAATTGAATTCTTGTGAAATTTTTATTATTTATGAAATAAATGTTCACGTAAAATTTTATCGAACTTTTTTTTGCAATAATTGAATTCTTTTGAAAAATTTTATTAAAATAATAGATATTGAAAAAAAAATCATTCAATTGAGAACTTTTTTTTGAAAATAATTGAAATTTGGCCAAGAATTTTATTAAAATTTTTGATAATAATTGAATTTTGGAAAATAATTTTATTATTTATAAAGATAATTGAAATTTTTAATTTCTGCGAAGAATTTTATTACTTTTGAAAATAAGTGAATTTCTGCAATCAGTTATAACTTCTGCAAAATTCAATTCTTTTCAAGTGTTTTTAAGTAAAATTCTGCATTATTTTTAATAATTATTTATATATTAAAAAATTAACTAATTGTTTTGAATTAATAAAATTTTTTAAAATTTGTTTAAAATTTATAATTAAATTCATTAAAAATTAAAATTTTATAAAATTTAAAATTGAAACCTTTTGAAGTTTATTTATTTATGAAAATTGTGAACGCAACTCTATTAAAATTAAATTAATTTAGAAAAATATTCGTGGTAAGAAGCAAAATAACTCCGTTTTACGGTACATATTAAATAATTTTTTAATATAATTTGGTGAATGTTTACCTTTTCTTCTATTGCGAATAACAATTAATTTCAATAATTCCATTAATATTGGAATATTGGCTAACGTCAGACTTTCATTTACTAATTCAAAATTTGTGTAGACTTGAAAGAGAAATATTGTTTGCGGTATTATGTTAACTACAATCATATTTAATTCCGTTAATATTGATAAAAATAATGATAAACGTTCATGTTTTTCGTTTGGCTCTGGCCATGCACCGACTATTCCTAAATTCACTCGATTCCATTTAAGTAAAAAAGCTTCAACTGGAAAAATTTTAGAAGAATTAAATAGAAAATTATTCAAAAATCATAACCATTTACTTTTTTGTTTTTTTGTTTTTTTTTTTTTTTTTAGAATTTCTATTTAACCAAATTTTTATTTCAGAGCAATACAATTTAAATGAATTTTAATTTAGCATAGATCTTATTTTAATAATAATTTTATAAATGAGTTGAACTTTTAAGGGGCTGTCAAAGTCGATGCGATTTTTCCATTGAAACTTGATTTGGACGAAGTAAAAAATATTAAAAAAAATTTTTTTTTGTTATATAGTTTTAGTAATTTTTAAAAAATATTATTCATGTTGCTACCGAAATTTTTCTAGTGATTTCTAATGTTGTTTCTAAATAAACAAAATTATTTTTCCAAGATTTTGAATAAAAATTTGTTAAAATCATTTTATACTACAAAAACACTATGAGAAAAATAATTGAAAAATAATTAATCATTTAAAAATAAAATTATTTTATAAAAATTACCAGGTTTTTTGGTCATTTTAATGTTGTTATAAAGTTGCGATTGCAGAAAGTATAAGTTTAATGAAACACAGGTCCGATGGAATAAAAGAAATTGCGCAGGCTTAGAAAACTTTTCACATTACTCTATGAAAAATTCACTCGCCTCATCAGACAACTTACGATGTATGTAGGAGTTAAAAAAACGACTCTTAATTTGCATATTAAATTATTTCAACTCGTTCTTTTTCAATGGAAATTGTTCAGTCTTCATTGTCCACTCGAAGTAGATACACATTTTCTTCAAATTTAAAATTTTTTCCCTCATGTGTATACAGAATTCAACATTCATTTTTTTATTTTTTTATTATATTTTCGTCTCTTTATTTTTCGAAAAATAATTTTAAAATCAAGAAAATTTTGATAAGTTCGGATCACTGCTAAGTTGAAGAAGAATTAAGTTACTTGTGAAATTTCTTCATTTTAAAATGAAAATTTATTATTGTTGAAAATTTGTATTAAAATTTGTGCCCTTATTTCGTTATTAAAAAGAAAATACTTTTAATCAGTATATAAATAAAATTCTTAGATTAAATTCAACAAATTTTTAATAAAATTCTTTCAAACGATTTAATTATTTTCAAAAAATTTTCAAAATTCAATTATTCCAATTATTTTCAATATCTACTATTTTTATAAAAAATTTCCCAAAAGAATTCAATAATTTAATTACAATTTTTATAAAATTCTTTGCAACAATCAATTATTTTAATAAAATAATAAAATTATCAAAAAAAATTCAATTATCTAAAACACAATTTTCATAAAATTTTTCGAAAAAAATTAATTCAAAAAGATTTTTATAAAATTCTTCGCACAAATTCATTTATTTAAAAAAAATTTAAGAATCCTTCGCAAGAATTCAATTATTTTAAAAAATTTTAATAAATTCGTTGCAAGAATTAAATGATTTCCATAGATAATAAAATTCTTCATATAGGATTTCAATTAATTTTTGTAAAATTTTAAATAAATTCCTTGAAAAATACAATTATTCTTAAAATTTTTATTACAATTTTTTCCTCAAGAATTCAATTATTTATTTAATTCTGATTTATTTAATCTTAAAAAACTTTAATAAAAACAATTATTTAAAAAGACTTTTATGAAATTTTTCTTAAGAATTCAATTATTTAAAAAAAAATTTGATATAATTTGTTCATTAGAATTTAATAATTATTTCCAATACATTTTTAATTAAACTTTTTTTAAAGAATTTAATTATTTTCACAAATTTTAATAAAATTCTTCGTAACTATTTATTTTAAAAATTTAAAATTATATTAAATTTCTTTTTATTTAAACTAAACGTTTTTAAAAATTCCATTGAAATAAAAATTTAAATACAAACTTATTGCTCAGGAAAATTAATTTGTTCTACAAGATTTGCACTTTGATTCGATTGTTAAGAAAAAGAAATTATTATTTACAGTATAAAGTTTAATGCATTTAATTGTCACAAGATTGTTTTCACAATAATTATTTTTAATACAACCAATCTTCCGTCAGTTATTACAATAAAAATAACTGCTAAGCATTCATACAATAAAATAAATATATTGGTGAGGCAAAAAAAAAAACCAATGAATCATTTATCGTTTAATTATACTTGTTTTTTTCTGAAGAAATGAATAATTCTCGATGGAATTATTTATATAATATTCAATTATTTAATATGGGTAAAAAAAATTCAAGTATCCTTAAACGTTTGTTTATAGAAGTGCACTCGGCTTATTATATAATACTTATAAATTAGTTGTTAATAAATATGTACAGTTTTGGCTTAATATTTTCTCTCATATTGGAAATTATTTGTGAATGAAAGAAATTTAAATTCGTGAATTGTGGTGTGTGATACATTCGTTTTTTCGATTTTCATTTTCTCGCACGTAAATGAGGAATTTAATAAGAAAAATGAAAAATAATTATAGTCTCTTGAAAAAATTAGAAAAAAAATTTAAGAAAAGTATTTTTAAGAAATATTTATACTGAAACATTTCGAAAAAATATTTTCCATAAATATTATGTCCATAAAGTTTCGAACGTTGAAATGAATAGAATTTTTTTTTAATACTTTTTTTCTTTCTAATTTTTATTACAAAATGTTGTATTTTAATAAATAAAAAATTTCTTTTTAACTAAATAAATATTTTTCTTCTTTCTTTTCAATATTTTTTTTCTCAAAATAGTAATTTTTAAAAAATCTTAGAATTCAGAAAGAGAATTCACTCATTTGAATATTCGAAACTTTAAGGAAAACGAAGTATTTAAATAATTTAACAAAATATTTTAATATCAATTTCTAAAAAATATTTTTACAACGAATATTTTACTGTAAACTTTACACTGAAAAAAAATTAATTTGATTCAAATAACCGATGACTTTATCCTCGACTTTATCAAATAAATATTTTCTTGAAAAATTATTTTTGAATAAAATAATTTTTATTTCAATCAATTGAATAGTATTCGCTTCTAATAATGAATTTATTGGTTTAATCGTTCAAACACATTTTATTTGATTCAAGTTAAAATTATTTGATTCAAGTAGATATATTTATTTGGCAATAGACAAGTAATCGGTTATTTAAATCAAATTTTTTTTTTCATTGTAGAGAATCGAAATATTTAAAAAATATTTTTTAAAATATTTTCACGAACTATTGAAAAATGAATTTCTAAAAAATATTTCTAGAAAATAATGAAAAATGAATTTCTAAAAAACATTTAAAAACCATTTTTTAACCATTTTCTAAAGTGCGTCTCTCCTTTCTTTTTGCAGGTAAAACTTGTTACTGACTCTCATTGACCTGAATTAGTTTCGACACTAATTATAAGACAAAATTACAAGTTTTGAAGTTTCGCTCCATTGACGAGAGAGCGATTTTTATGAGATGATTTTTTTGTTGTTGCGATTTTTGATAATTATAAATATATATATAAATGATTGATAAATGAGTGCGCTGCGAGGTAAAAATTAAGAATAGAAGACATTTCCTGGCCTGGCCTGCAGGCACACGAATTTCGAACAGTCGTATCTCCTTACGGCCTCCATGACCTCTTCGAAGTGACCAGACACTTGGGCAGCTGCTCCAGGCTGTATTCTGAAAAAGAAAAAAAAATGAGGTAACACACAATTGAGTTTCTGAATTTAGAAAGCGTTAGGGAAAGCTCTCTCTCTCTCTCTCTCTCTCTCTCTCTCTCTCTCCTCATCTCTGTGATTACTTGATAAAAGGTAATATATGTATAAGAAACGAATTATCTTTAATTAACCTCGATGGCTATCATAAATGACTTTTAAACGTTTCTAATAGTAATGACCGTTACTTTTAATAGCATCGGTAAACACTTGAATTATATACGTTGGACTTTAAATTAGCACGTGTTAATATTATCGCCTTTGGGGAGATAATCTCTCGCTCTCGCTCTCTAAAAATTCACTTCATTAAGGAGCTTATTTTAATTGACTAAATGAACTTGCTTTGAGTTCTCAAGGGTTCAAACGAACATCATTTTTCATTTTTCTATTCCCTCCTCCTCCTCCTCGTCCTCGGGATTATTCTCAATTATTTTTATTGTATTTTTCATTTGTCTTGTCAATTCATTTCTTGTCCATATTTAAAGTTCTGATATTTCTTCATAATTGCCACAAAAAATTAATTTTGTTCATTCTCTGACATTTCCCTGATTTACAGACAAAACTTTGCGACTCTTTTCCTGACCCTAAAGAATATTCTGATTCACTCTAAAAATTATTAGATACTCAAAAAAAAAAAAAATTCTATTATATATTCATTTACGAATTGGAAAATTATTCGTAAACATCAATAACTTCTGTTTTAAATAAATATTTGATAATTATTATTTTTCCATATAGAAATTAAGATTTTCAATCATTTCAAATTCAACAACTTATAAGAATATTATTATAAAACATAGATAACTTCATATTTTTTTCAAATAATTTAAACGCAACCATAAAATTTTTCAGAAAAAATCAAATTATTTTCAAAAATTTCTATAAAATTCTTCGCAAGAATTCAATTATTTTTACAAGTAGGTAATAAAATTCGTTGTGTAAAAAAAATTCAATTATTTATAAAAATAATTAAATTTTTATAGGATTTCAATTATTTTTAATACAATTTTAAATAAATTCCTTGAAAAATGAAATTATTTTCAAAAATTTTTTGCAAGAATTCAATTACATTTCACAAATAATGAAATTCTTCGCTGAAATTCAATTATTTTCAGAATCCACTATTTTAATAAAATTTCTTAAATGAATTCAATTATTTAAAAAAATGTAATAAAATGCGTTTCAAGAATTCAATTATTTTCATAAATAATACAATTCTTTACAGGATTTTAATTATTTAAAAAAAAAATTAATAAAAATTCGTTGCAAGAATTAAACTATTTTCATAACTAATCAAATTCTTCACAGGACTTCAATTATTAAAAAAAAAAATGTAATAAAAATTCTTTACAAGAATTCAATTATTTTCCTAAATAATAAAATTTTTTACATGATTTCAATTATTTTTAATACAATTTTAAGTAAATTCTTCGAAAAATGTAATTATTTTCAAAAATATTCAAAATTCAATTATTTTTGAAAATTCATGCTATAATGCTTTTAATATTGAATTATTATGTAAAATTTTAACTGAAATTCATTTTTAAATAAATTTTTATTCGACAATTTTACGAGAATTCAATTATTTAAGTACAAAAATATATAATTTATTGAATAAATGAATGTTTTTAAAAATTGAATCCTCATATCCATAAGTTTATCAACAAATTTTTAAATAATTCAATTTTTTCGACGAATTTTAATAAAATTTTCAAGAATAATTACATTTTTCGAGGAGTTCGATTAAAATTTTATTAAAAATAATTGAAATTCTGCGATGAGTTTTATTATTAATGAAAATAATTAAATCTTGATAAAAAAATTTATTATTTTTGAAAATAATGTAATGTTTGCTTTAAATTTTATTTTTAAAATTAATTGAAATGTTTTGAAAAATTTTATTATAACATAGTAGACATTGAAAATGATTGAATTGAGGAAAATTTTTGAAAATAATTGAAATTTTGCCAAGAATTTTATTAAAATTTTTGAAAATAATTGAATTTTGGAGAAGAATTTTATTATTTTGAAAGATAATTGAAATTTTGACGTTGCACTTTTAAAAATTTTTTAGCACAATTGAATTTCTGTGAATAAATTTTTGAAAAATAATTAAAAGTAATTGACTCATTAAAGAATATTTGTTCAAAATCGTAGCAAGTAATTGAATTTTAGAAGCTTTACAATGTCAATTTTTTAGTAATAATTGAATTTCAGAAGATTTCATAATTTGAAATTTTCGAGAATACAAATTTTGTAGGTACTATATTCCTAATTAAAAATTTTGAAAAATTTATCATTGTAGAAAGCTTTTAAAATAAAATTTGTTGAAATTAGATGGATTTTTAATTAGAATATAAATTCAATTAAAAATATTATTTAACTAATAAATATGAAATCGTATATTCAAAAAATTGAATTGAGAACAATCAAATTTTAATTAAACTTTCTTTCTCTTTAAGAATTGAAAGAATTTTTTTCAAAATCGTAGAAAATAGTTGAATTTTGGAATATTTACAACAGCAATTTTTAGTAATAATTGAATTTCAAAAGGTTTTAAAGTGAAATTTAAATAATTTTACTCTCTAAATTGGAATTAGAAAAAGTGTTTACTAATTTGAATGATCGACTGACTTTTTTGCTAATGAATTAGTAAATTTTGATTAATAAATTAGTATAAATTAGAATTTATTAGTTGAATTTACAAATTTGAAATTTTTCCTTTTAAATTAGTAAATTCAACTAATAAATTGTAATTTATACTAAATTATTAATCAAAATTTACTAATTCATTAGCAAAAAGTCAGTCATTAATTCAAATTAATAAACACTTTAACTTAATTCAAATTTAGAGAGTAATAAAAAGTGAAAATTTCAGTAACAGATAGTAAACAAACTTTCAGTAAATCGATATTAAAAATTTCGGTAACAGATATTAAAAGTTTTTCAATTATTTTTTAATCACTCAAACAATGATAAATTGCTGTTAATTAAGTTAGCTTTACAACTGATTTTTTAAACAGCGAAATTTAAAAATTTAATTTATTATAACCGTGAAAATAATTTGACTGAAAATCAGTCACTTGAATAACTCAATTTTCAGTCAAAATCGACCAAAAATCAGTGAAATCATTTTTACTTTCAGTTTTAAGAAAGAACACACAAAGTACATTGTTTTCGGGACAAAAAGAACAGAAAAAAAATCTTTTCTTTCTGGGTAAGAAAAAGACAATTTCGATTTCACTCATACACACATTAGTATAATAAAATGGAGAGTGCAAAATTTATCCTTTTAAAGTCGTTCATCGAGTTCTTTTCGTCACTGTCTTGTTTTTTTTTCTCTCTATCGTTTTCCTCCATCGCGCTTTAAGGTGTACATTAAGTGAAATTGTGCTAAGAGGTAAAAGTTGAATCAGTCAGTAGGACGTTGAATCGTGCGAGCGAAAGCTAAAAGAAAGTTATGTGTCTCTCTATAGCAAAATAGTATAACCATAGCACAGTCTTCTTAAAATCTGCACGTGAATCATATTTTTTTTCTCCTTCCTTTTTTAGGCGGGAAAAATGGAGCCTTTGCATATTCCTCTTATCAGTTCAAATGATACCATAAATCTTTGTGAAAGTGTATCCGAGCAACTTTCATTTACTTCCAATACAAGTATTATAATAATCGTGTGTTATTTTTTCCAACTCCAAATATATTGTCTGGAGTTTGTGTATTTAATTTAATTTTTAATTCAATTTTCAGTAGTTAATTTAATTTTTAATTTAATTTTCAGTATTTAATTTAATTTTTAATTTAATTTTCAGTATTTATTTAATTTCAGTATGTAATCATTTGCGGAATTACAAATTTTAAAACAATACATTGGAATTTATTTCAATTTCGTTAGGTATTTGATCATTTTGGCCACAGTTTTTTTGAGAATAACAAATTGAGACAAAAAACGAAGCAACATTTTGATTCATTTTTTGTCCCAATTTATTGATATCCTAAATCCTTAGAAATGATTAGAATACTGTTTTAGTTTTTTTAAAACGTTGCGGACTTCAGGCTCAGAAAAGTTTGAAAAGCTGAATTCCCGCAACAGTTTTAAGAACAAAAAATCAAGAAAGAAATTTTTTCGAAGCTAAATTCATCTTTAATTTGCATGTTCTTAGATTTTCAAGAAACTAATTGTTACTTAAAAATGTATTTAGATTTTTAAAAAACTGATTATTACTTAAGAAACAATTGCTGAAAGATAACATGATGTTGAAGCAACAACATTTAGATTCTTAAAAAACGAATTATTACTTAAAACAGAATTGCTCATATAGATAACATGATGTTGAAGCAAAAAGAAAATAAATTGTCGCGTTATTTTTTTGTTTTTGTTTCTAAAAACTTAGCGAACTTCAGACTCATAAAGATATTGGGACTAAACTGAATTGCAACAAAGGAAGAAAAGAAAAGTAACAAAAGAAAATTTGCTTACAATGACAACAGTGAATCCATCCTCTTCTCCATGAATATAGAAGCGTCTGGACCATTCTCAAGCATGGCATCGCAAAACATTTTTTTGGCACACGGCGTATTCGTCCAATCGCCAGCAATATGATTGACCTCCGAAACGGCAGCATTCTCTAAATTTTGAAAAGCATCCATTAATTCTTGATCAGTGTCCAAACTCCTTCTTCTTCTTCTTCTTCTGCTTGCTGCTTCCTCGTCCCTTTTTCTCAAAATTTCATCAACAACTTGCACCATTTTATCCAGTGCTTCATTATTTTTCACTTTTTCTCCAATTCCCAGCTGTTGCCCCTGCTGTTGGGTTATTCCCAACGGAATCGAACCATCTTCTACCAATAAAATTGAATTATCCTCTGTTAGCTTTTCCTTACTGTTCTTCGGTATCAAAAGTTCTGTGATGTCAATATTTCCCTTCGCAGGCACATCTATTTCCACAATTTCGGTTATTAGATCTGCACCTTTCCGTTGAAATCTCTTAGTTCGGATATGATTCTGATTCTCTTGTGTAGCGCCAAAAATATCGATGTCTAAACTTCTTTTTCTTCTCTGATTTTTGCCGAGCGTAATCTGTGGTGTTTCTGAACTTTCCTCCTTTGGTTCGACTTCCTCAAGAAGCAAGTAGACATTTTCGTTATTCCCAACTTGAACTGCTTCCGGACTCAAAATTTCTCCATTTTCAAAATTTGGAACTGCTCCCAAAGCTCTTGTCTCCTCGACTGCATTTTCATTCGATCTCTTCAAAACATCGACATCCAAATACCTCCCCACAGCCACTGCACCAATTCCCAAAGCAGCACCCGAAGCAACCAAACCCAATGCCGGTATCAAAATGGAAGAACTCGAAGCAACAGTTCCAATTTTCTCCTGCGCCTCTTGACTCTTCGACAGACCGAGATTTTGCGAAATTTTATGCGTCGCCTCCACTAGAGGATCGAAAACAGGTTTCGTGAATCGTGACACTTTCTCGACGCCGGTGGAAAATTGATTCTTCAAATTTTCCGATATCTTTATCCAAAATGGTGTCTCTGGCTTCTTGAGTCCGTAGAAATGCTGATTGGGATAGTAGTTCTTCAGAGTGTAGGAATCGACGAGATTTTTATCGTTCAAGACGTATTTCTTCTTGTGACGCTGTTCGGTGAATGAATATTGATTCTCGGGAAAATTGTCGGGGCGACGTTTTTCGTTTTTTAGAATTTTTGCTGGTTGCACGCCCAGTTCTGGATGAGCGTACTGAAGAACTGGAGCTCGTGCGCCTGGTTTCATTGTTAGGGGGGCAATTTTTTGACTCTCGGGCGTATAAATTGGAGAATTTGGAAATGTTGTCACACTCTCGGGATGGAGCATTCGTTTTTGAATTGTTGATGAACGATAATTGTCGGCTTTGAATTCGTAGTTCTCTGGTCTTAGTTGGCTATCGGTTTGATAGTTTTTTGGCTCCCATTCGTAGTAGACGTTTCTGTTGTCGTCATTAAAGTTTCTTCCGTATCTAAAAATAGTTGAAAATACTTGTATTTCTTTATGCATTTTGTAAATATTTCTTTTGAATCTTTTGGTTAAAAAAAAAAAAATGATCCACAAGTTATGAATCTTCAAATGAAGGAAAAGAGATTATTTTTTTCTCTTTTGAGTAAAAGCTTGTTTTCAAAAAGGAAAATTTATAATTAATTAATTTTTAATCCGGAAATTGAGACAAAAAGAACCTAATAAAACAAAAAATTCCTAACAATAAAAAAATATTTTTTTTTACAAATAAAAAAAAATGCTTGATTGTCAAAGCCAAATATTTTCTTCTGTTATTTAATTTCAAAAAATATTATATTTAGTAATATTAAATTTAGTTATTAAAAATGTATAAATAAAGAAAATAAATAAAAAAAATTCTTGAAATGATGGAATATAATTGAACCGGAACTATTTAACAGACGTGAGGGTTTGTTATCATCTATTTTTTTCTCCTTGTTCACAATTCCACCTGCGTATGTCATTTCATAATTTCTCAATTGTTTAAGAATGTACTTGACTGCATAAATACTTCTCACTGTTACGTTATAATTAAATTCTTAACCTTGACACATTTTGATAAAATTTTAATTATTAGAATTTAGAAAAACTTATAAATAATCCTTGACTTGTATAGCATCTGTACTAACGCCGCATTAAAATAACATTTAAATTATCTTCAAACAAATAATAGCCCAATTTCCATTGTCGCAGTATCTATAGAGATTAATATTGTTATTTTTCATTTACAATTCTACGATAGTAATATTATTATTTTTTTCCTTACCATCATACACATGCAGAAACGGAATATTAAAAAGAAGAATCGAAATTTTTTAACTAGAATTCTTTATTCAAAAATTTGTACAATATATAATTTGAGGATATTATTCCCTTTTACCACATTATCATGCACAATAGAAATGTTAAAAGAAACAGTCGAAATTGTTTAACAAATAGAATTCTTTATTTGAAATTTTTACAGTAGTTATAATTTTGTTATTCCCTTTTACCATGACATGCAGAAATGTTATAGGAACAATCGATATCTTTCACATAGACATTTTCTTTTTTTAATTTTTGTTTATTAAACAGGAAATTAAAAAAGTAGAAATAGAGTTTATTATAAATAGAAAAAATCTTCATTATAAAAAAAGAAGAAAAATAAAGAAAAAAAGTAATAAAAAAAAGGTTTGAAATACTATAAAAATTGTAATCAGAAAGATTTCGATTTTCGTTGTTAAAGAATAGGCAGCGTTGAAATTAAAATATTAAATATAATACAATTGTTATGTAGTAATAATTAATTAATTAGTAATAAATAGATTATTAAAGACAATAAAATAAGAAGTAGAAGTTTTTAAAATTTTGTTACGCTGAATAAAAATTTATTTGATTCAAAATAACCGATTACTTGTCTATTGTTAACTGAATATTTACTTGAATCAAACAAATTTTTTTTCATTGTATTAGATCAAGTATATATTTGAAACTTCTACTTAATATAATATAGTATAAGTATGTTACAAATAATATAGTTAATATAATATTGAAACTAGTTTGTTAAAATAGTATAGCTTATAGTATAATAGTATAGTAGAGTATAATACAAATATAGTAATAATACTTATACAGGGTGTTCAAAAAGTACAAAAATGATTAAATATCTCAAAATATTGAGACTTTTTGAAAAAAAATAAATTTAAACAAAACAAAATTTTTTTAAATTACAACAAAAATTGAAATAAAAAACAAAATAATGTAATTATAGCAAAAAATAAAAAAATATAATATAATTTTTCAACGCCCGATATAATAACAATAATGTACAAATATGACATAATTTTAGTAATATAATATAATATAGAGTTATAAAATAATTTGGTAGAAATTTATAAGCCTCGGTTTGTACCACTTTTTACCACTATTTATTTATTTTTAAAGAACGCGATTTTTCCCAACTGATTTCAATAAAATTACCTACATAAAAGAAATTATAAGAAATAATTAAATTTGAAATAATTTAAAATTGAATTTTTCAAAAAAAATTGAATTTTAGAAAATTTACAGTGTTAATTTTTAGAAATAAATGAATTGCCCAAGTTTTTAAAATTGAAATTTTCAAAAATTCGATATTTTAATTAAAAATATAATAGATTGAATATCCATAAAATTGAATTTAAAACAATCAAATATTAGGCGTATTTTATTGATTTTTATTTTTTTCTTATTTTCAATAATTGAATTCTTATAAAACTTTTTGAAAATTATGAAAAATAATTGTCTCATGAATGAATTTTCATTAAAAATTGTAGAAAATATTTAAATTTTGAAAGATTTACATTGAAAACTTTTAGAAATAATTAAATTTCAGAAGATTTCAAATTAAAATTTTCAAAAATTCGAATTTTTTTACTCTTTAGTTAAAATTTTGTATAAAATAATTGAATTTTGTAGTATTTACAGTAGAAGTTTTTAGACATAATTTAATTTTATAAAACTTTCTGAAAAATTATTAAAAAATAATTTACTTAAAAAAGAACTTAAATTAAAAATTCTAAAAAATAATTGAATTTTGCAAAATTTACAGCTGCAATTTTTATAAATAATTAAATTTCACAAGTTTTTACATTGAAATTCTGAAAAATTCGATATTTTAATTAAAAATATAATAAATCGAATATTCGTAAAATTGAATTTAAAACAATCGAAAGATAGACGTATTTTTCTAATTTTATTTTAATTTTTAATAATTGAATTTTGAAACAACTTTTCGAAAATTATTTAAAAAAATAATTGAGTTTCAGAAGGTTTCAAAGTGAAATTTTCGAAAATTTAAATTTTTTATACTCTTTATTGAAAATTTTGAAAAATTTAGTTTTTTATGATATTTTAATACAAATTTGTTTTTTTTTTAAATTAGTTGAATTTTTGATTATAATATAATTTCAATTAAAAATATTATTTAACTAAAAAAATTAATCGAATATTTGAAAAATTAAATTTAAAACAATCGAATTTTATAATTAATGTTTCTTTATTTTTAATAATTGAATTTTGAAAGAACTTTTTGAAAATTATTAAAAATAATTGACTTAGGAAAGAATTTTCGTTCAAAATCATAAAAAATATTTGAATTTTACAGAATTTACCTACAATATCAATGTTTAATAATAATTGAATTTCGAAAGGTTTAAAATTTAAATAATTTTAAAATTTGAATAAGTAAAAATGTTTACGAATTTAAACCAATAAAATTATTGGTTTACGAATTAACCAATAAAATGCCAAAATTCAATAATTATTTTCTACAATTTTTATGGAAAATTCTTATCTGAATAAATTATTTTGAATAATTTTCAAAAATTAATTTTAACTAATTAAAATTTAGACAAATTTTTCCTAAGGATATAAAATTGAGACAAAAAACGAATCAAAAGTGTAGCAAATCTTTTGAAATTTAATTATTTCTAAAAATTGCTACGGTAATTTTTCCAAAATTCAATTTATTTTCTACAATTTCTAACAAAAATTCTTTTGTGTCAATTATTTGGAATAATTTTCAAAAATTAATTTTAACTAATTTAAATTCAACCACAGTTCTTCTGCAGATATCAAATTGAGACAAAAATCGAATCAAAACTGTTGCAAACCTTTTTAAACTTTAATCATTTCTAAAAACTGATACTGCAATTTTTCCAAAATTCAATTATTTGAATTTTGGAAAATTCGTTAAAAACAGAAATTGTTTTTAACGAAAATTCTTTTGAGACAATTATTTTGAATAATTTTCCAAAAATTAATTTTAACTAATTAAAATTTAGCAACATTTTTCCTAAGGATATGAAATTGAGACAAAAGACGAATCAAAATGTTGCTTCGTCGCAACACTTTTGCTTCGTTTTTTGTCTCAATTTCTTATCCTTAGAAAAACTGTGAAAAAGTAATTAAAAATTCCAGAAAATAATTAAATTTTACAAAAACTTGTAAATATCTACAATTTTTAATATTCAATATTTTTCTGATATTTTAATCGAATTTTAATTTTAAAAAATAGAAGAATTGAATACCATAATAAATTTAAATAATATACCAAAAGAATACCAAAATACTGAATGAATTAATTCAATTAGTAAAATTAAAATAGAATTTAACTTTAAAATCATCAACTTGTCTCCAAAATTTTAGTAAAGTCAGAATGATTTTCAGTTTTTATTTTTTTCTCTCTATATTTCTTTTTTTAATCATATTACCTGCGATTAACATCTTCAAAGAACTGTTTAAACCTCTGCTTTTCCACGAGATTATCAGAAGAAGAAGAAGAAGATTGATAAAGTGTTGAGGGATCAACAGTAACTGACATGGCACCTTGTGGTATTAAACGATTATTAATAACTCTCGCATTTCTCCAGGTGTAAATTTTATCCAACGGATCGTCGGGTTTACGTTCACCGTGTATCACTTGTGTGCCATCTTTTTCAAACGTAATTGTCGGCTGCTTCACTTTTGACTTAACATTCACCTCGGACGTGATTGTCACCTCGGGTGGTACATTTTTTGCGTCACGATTTTTCATTAAATTCTCACCAATATTCGTTCGTCTCAATGGTCGTGGTTCGTGGGGGAAAAAAGCGTAGGGCTCCCCTTTTGTTAGCAACAATCGTGCTTGTTTCTCCTCAACTGGATAATTCATCTTTTTTTCATCTCTATCGCGAAAATTACTAATTAGGACCAAATTATCTCTGGTGACTTTATTTTCGTTGGGGATTGTCTGCCATGTGGGGTAATTATCACTGTTCGCGTTCACTTGATCGTTGGGTTGAATTTCATCAATTGGCTTCCAATTTCCATAGTGAATTTTTTGTTTATCTTCATTTGTACTGAAATTTTTTGTTGTTGGGTCTGAGTCATTTTTTTGAACGAGTTGAGAGCGTATCCTTTGGATTTGAGCCACTTCAAGGTGACGAACATTGTTATCATTATTACTGTTGATGGTCCAACTTTTTGGTGTTTGGAATGTGTTTTCGTCATTCTGCTCTTGAGATAATGATGATGATGACGATGTTTTTAGGGGTTTTGGATTATCGAAAATTTGTGGTCTGTCTTTTCTCTTGACAATTAGAGTCGTTAATTTTCCTTCGCTGGTGCGAACTTTCAATTCTTCTGTTTCACCAGGAAGACTTCTGGACACTTTTAACATTGTCCTGGTGTAAGTAGGCTTCGGGAGTTCGGAACATTGATAGCCAATGATGCTTGACAAGAAAATGGTCAAGTAAAGTACCTGTAACAAGAAAAATGAATGAGAAATACGCTCGTTTCATATTTATTATTATGGTGTTTTTATTTGTTTTTCTATTTTGTTTTATTACTTGAAAACTAGAAATGCAGGACGATCTTTTTATTCTGTCATTTAATTTACATTTGTGACGCGATTTCAAGAAATTATTATTTTTTATTATTATTATTATTATTATTATTATTATTATTATTATTATTATTATTATTATTATTATTATTATTATTATTATTATTATTAATAATATTACTATTATTTTTAATATTATTAATATTACTATTATTATTATTGTATTGTTATTTAATTTATCCAAATGATTATTATTAATTTTTAATTTTCAACGTCTGTGAATCAATTTGATTCAATTTAACTCAATTCGATACAATTCAATTCAATTCCTTTCAATATCATTCGATTCAAATTAATTCAAGTCATTTCGATCCAAGTCATTAGAATCATTAATTAAAAAGGAAATTAAAGTTTAAAAATTATTAATTTTTACTTTTCAACGTCTGTGAATTCAATTGAATTCGGTTTAATTCAACTCGATACAATTCAATTAAATTCAATTGCTTTTAATATCATTCGATTCAAATTAATTCAATTCATTTCGATCCAAGTCATTTGAATTATCCATTAAAAAGGAAATTTATGTTTTAAAATTATTAATTTTTAATTTTCAACGTCTGTGAATCAATTTAATTCAATTTAACACAATTCGATACAATTCAATTGAATTCAATTCCTTTTAATATCATTTGATTCAATTTAATTCAATTAGTTTTGATCAAAGTAATTTGAATTATCAATTAAAAAGGAAATTTTTGTTTAAAAATTAAAAATTGTAAATTTTCAACGTCTGTGAATTCAATTGAATTGGATTTAATTCAGTTCAATTCACGATTAAATGTGAAATTTATGTTTTTTACAATTAATAATTTTCGATGTCTGTGATATAAATTCAATTCGATTCAATTCAATTCAGGACTAAAAAAGAAAATTTATATTTTTTTGCAATTATTAATTATAAATAATCAATGTCTGTGAATTCACATTAATTTGTTTCAATTCTATTGAAATGAATTCCATTTAATTCGATGCAATTCACAACTGAAAAAATTATTTTTTATAATTGGTAATTATTGATTTTCAACGTCTGTGATTTCGATTCAATTCAATTCAACTCAAAACTAAAAAAGAAAATTAATATTTTTTACAATTTTTGATTATAAATAATCAATGTCGGTGAATTTACTTTAATTCGTTTCAATTCTATTCAAATGAATTCCATTTAATCCAATTGAATTTACAAATAAAAAAGAAATTTTTATTTTTTACAATTATTATTAATTATAAATAATCAATGTCTGTGAATTCAATTTAATTCGTTTCAATTCTATTCAAATCAAATTAATTCCATTCAATTCAATTGAATTTACGAATAAAAAAGAAATTTTTACTTTTTTAAGATTTTTAATTGTTAGTTTTCAACGCCTATTAATTCAATTTTATTCAATTATAACGATTGGAAAAAATTATATTTTTTATAATTATTAATTATTTATTTTTATCGTCTTTTTTCAATTTAATTCAATTCAATTTAATTCAGGACCAAAAAGGAAATTTTTATTTTTTAAAATTATTAATTATTATAAATTATCAACATCTGTGAATTCAATTCATTTCGTTTCAATTTCATTCAAATTCTATTCAAATTTAATTCCATTTAATTTAATTCAATTCAGGATTAAGAACAAAATTTTTATTATCTGATTAGAAATTTTCAACGTCTATGAATTCAATTCGATATAATTCAAGGCTAAAAATTTTATTTTTTTTACAAATATTAATAATTTCTAATTTCTGTAAATTCTATTCAATTCACGACTAAAAAAACTTACATTTTTTTCAAATTATTAATTATTAACTTTCAACGTCTTTAAATTCAGTTTTATTCAATTCCATTCAAATTAATTCTATTTACTTCAAATTAATTCACGTCTCAAAAAGAAATTTACATTTTTACAATTATTAATTCTTAACGACTATAGATTCAATTCAATTCGAATTATTTAAATTCACGACTAAATTAACATTTTGTTATAATTATTTATTAATTTTCGGCGGCTTTTAATTCAATTCGATTCAATTCAGGACTAAAAATTTTATTTTGATTAAAAATATTAATTATAATGATAAGAATAAAATCTGTTCTTTGATCTTGACCTTCAATTATAATTTGATTAAAATTTTTTGTACAAATTTTATTTAATTTGGTATCAAATTAATATTAATTTGATCAAACTTGGTATCAATTTGATTAAAGCTGTCAATTTGAATCAATTTGGTATCAATTTGATCAAACTTGGTATTAATTTGATCCAATTTGGTACCAATTTGATTCAATTTAGTATTAATTTGATACCAAATTTGGTACCAATTTGATCCAATTTGGTATCAATTTGACACCTCCCAGAAAACTGTGATAGTCTATTCACAACAAATCAGAATTATTAGAAAAATAAACCAAAATTTATTAGTTCTCTATTAAAAATCCAAATGCCAAAATAAAAAATTGCCTTTTCCATCTAATTAGCAATTTAGCTAAATAGTAATTATATTAGTACCTATATAAAAATTGATCCACTTTATAATAAAATGTGAACAAAAAGAAAAAATATTTTTTTCAAACACGAGAAATTGTACACAATCTTTTTCTTGGAACAATTTTCATGAAAAGTACAAACGACTTTCAGTTCAAATATCTTTAACGAAAAAAAAACATCCATCAAGTACAGTTACCACGCAAAGAAAACGAAAGTTTACTCTCCATCTTTAAACTTTAATTACGAGCACACAGATGACGTGGTTAGAAATGCGAACGATGAAACGTCTAGTTTGAAAACCTGTTTTCGGGGCCTCATGCCTCAAATTCCCTGTTTCCTTATATTTTTATCACAACTTTTTTCTCCCCCCCCCCCCTTTGTGAGTAAAAAAAACCATTTTCATTCTCTATATTTTCACGCACACTTACACGCACAAGTGAGAATATTAATGATCTATTAAGATTAGAAATATAGAACAGAATTTTAATGATTTGTTTTTTTTCGTTGTTTTCGTTGTTTTTTTTAACTTCTCTATAGATTTTGTATGTATTAAACGGTAATTATACTAATTACTCAATTTCGAAGAGTTCTAGAAGTTTTTAATGATTCCTTGTTAATTGCAAGTAAATTCGTGTTGATAATTACATGGTAACTAAATAAATGTTCATTATTGTGATTGTGTGTATGTGTGTTACAATTTTCTGATGAGAATTCTTTACGAGATGGTAAATTACAGAGAAAAATATTTAGAAGATTTAGAGAAAAAAATTTGAGAATAAATTAATTTATTTTGATATACGGTTCTTGACTATTGTTATTTGTTAATTGCACTTTTTTCTTATAATTTTCTTCTCTTACTTTCAATCACAATTTGCAAACTTTTTAAACAGCGATGAATTAAATATTTATGAAAAAATAATAATCATCAATAGTTCAAATTAACATAATATAGTATTCAAAAAAAAGGTTTTTTTTTAAAAACGAAACATTATAAATAATTCATTTGATTTTAATCTAAAGCAGAAACAGTAGATGCTAAAAAAAAGTACAAATATGCAAAGAAGGAACGAAAAATAATCACATAGTTTGCAAACTTTTTAAACAGTGAATTTAATATAATTATAAAAAAATAATAATTATACTATTGTGTAAAAATAACATATAGTAATATTTATAAAATGCAGTAAAAAAAATACATCAATAAATAATATAGAAAGAATTTTTCCTCAACGATTTTTCAAATTATATAAAAATAACAATAGAATTTTTTTTCGAAAATTTTTTAAGAATTTATTCTCAGATTTTAAATTGTAAGGAGAAAACGAAAGAAGTAAAAATAACACATAATTGTTAAAATGAGTTATAATGATCTGGTAATTTTTTTTTCAGAAATTTTTTCGAATCCAATTCTCGACTTTAAAAAGTATATCTTCTTCACAATAGAAATATAAGAAGAAATAAAATTGTTAAAATTATAATATGAATTATAACGATGCGGTAATTCCATAATAAAAAGATCACATAATTTAGAAATTATATACCAGAAAAAAAGTGGTCACAGACAGAAGAGGGATCCTTATAATATAATAAAAAGAAATCCTCTTTTTTCTGAATTTCTAAATCGTTTCGGTAAGAAAAAAAAGGGTCGCGACGATTCATATGCTAATTGGATGAGACACGTTTGTATGCATTTGTTGGAAGAAAAAAAATGCATATTCAAGATCTTTGTAAAGTGCATAAATTTTTGGTCATTTGTGTGTCTGTGTGTGCATTGCATTTGTCGCGCTGTAAGATTTAAAAATTACGCTCAGCACGTGAAATGTTTTTTAAAAAGATTTTCGAAAGTCGGCCTTGCTTATAATATGTTATAGGCAAAAGGGGGTTTACACACACAATTTTTTCCATCCATTTTCAAATTGCGTTCAATGAATTACAATGAATGCACTGTACTCCTAATTATTTTTATGTAATAACTTATTATTCGTAATACAAAACAATAATTACAAAATTCGTATTTGTATTTGTAATTTAGTGTTTTTTAATTTTGAATATATTTTCTTTTGACTTATTTTAATAATTTAATCAGTTGGATTATTTGTTTTTAATATTTTACTCTTTTCCTATTTTAGTATTTTTCGTTTTAATATATTATTAATTTTTTTACTATTTTTATTTGTTTACTGTTTTCTATTTTTACCATCTTTACTATTTTTACTATATCTTTATTATTATTCTTATTTTTAAAATTTTTACTAATTCTACAATCTTTAGTATAATTTTACAATTAAAAAAATTCGTAATTAAAAGTAATAGAACAGTTTTTTGAGTATTTAATTTTAATTATTAACTTTTTTTGTTTAAATAAAAAATAATTACTTT